TCGAACAGCCGCCTGTCCGAGCTGTCGGCAGCCCACTGCAGCGCGGCCCCGCCGGACTGCTCTCCGCGCTCCGCCGGGCCGAGCGTCCGTGTTCAGTGCCCGTCCCGGTTCCTCGGTGAGGCTGGCGAAGCCGGGGCGTCGAGAGGAGGAGGAGGAGCCTGGGGTTTCCCTGGTGGAGTTCGCCGTCCACCGTGTTCGTCCAGCTCCTACCCACGAGGCCCTGTGGGAGCCAGGCCCTGGCTGCCAGGCCTGGCCTCTCTGCCTGGGGCCCACGAGGACGGCCGTGTCCATGCCGATGGGTCACCCCGACCTCCCCCCAATCCGAGGCACTGGGCGCAGCGCACCTGCCCCCCCCATCATGGCTGTCGTCCATGCTGGTAGACAAACTGGGACCCCCCGGGGGCCTCCCTATTTGGGGGATTCCGGTCTGCGAGCCGGTGTGCAGGACAGTCCCTGCTGTCGCCTCTGTGCACACCTGGGGTGGTCCGCTGCTTTGGTCCAGGCGTGCGCTGCCTGCTTTTCGGAGTCAGCTTAGCAGCAAACGCATGATTGGCCCCTCCTACCACGAGATAGCAGGTGTTTGGTTTTCCTCCCTCCAAACTGGGACCTTTTCAGTCTAAACATTACAGAGTTAGTGTTAGAATTACAGAATTATAATAGAATTATAATGTTACAGAATCAGAATTAGAATTATATAGAATTAGTATTTTGGCAGGTCTGTATTTGAGTATGTTTATAAATTCAGTAAATCTTTCTGCATTTCTGAAAGGTTGGGGGTGATAAATAATGTACTGCTGTTGGCAACATTTGTTATCTTGAGTCAACATGGATAATTTCCTGTGACTTTAATTTCAGCTGACAACGGGCTTTTCCCAAAGCTTGCAAAGACACAAGCGAGCCCGGGGATCGGCGCGGACGTGGCGGGCCTGGCGGGGGACTGGTCCAGCATTTCACATGGTTGTGCGCAGTGGAGCCGCCGCGCCCCCTCTCTGTCCTGGGGGCCCCCCCGACGCCGTGTCACGTGCTGAGCTTCCTGTCCCCCGTGGGGGCTCCATGCGCGGTGACTCCGTAGGGAAGGAGACGCCGCACGTTCAGGAGCGGGGCTCCCAGAGCAGTGTTGCCATTGTTTGCTCTCTGAGAACTCTGAACTCCAGCACGGGACCCCGGACGCCATGACCCTGACCCTGACCCCGACCCCGACCCCAGTCCGGGTGCGACGAGGGAGCGCACTTCTTTTTGTGTTCTGGGCCGCCCTTCACTGATCCCAGTGGTTCAGACGGGGCCGTGTGGCTTCTCGTGGGTCCTTCTCTGTGCTCCTGTCCCCCTTCGCACTGAGGGTGCGCTGTGTCTCCCTGAGGGGACTCCCCTCAGGTGTGGGAGCCGCTGCAGCAGAGCCCGCCCGCCTCCCCCCGCGGTCCGTTTTCCGAGCGCTGAGCGCTCAGTCCCTGCGCTCGGCGGCCGGCAGCGCAGTTTGAGTCTGGTCTTGCCTGGGAACAGACCTGACTCCGCCTCACGCCGTGGTTGCTCAAGACTCAAGACCTGCTCGTTATCTCTCCCGATTTCACTGGGGGATTAACAACGAGCCCTTCAGGGCTTTTCCCATTGTGTCGAGCTCAAACAAAAGCCGCTGACAAAGTCCCATTATGAGTCCAACCTGCGGAACAAACACGCAGCACAGGCCCCGGCAGGAAGGCGCAGTGGGGGGGCGCGGCGTGGGTGCTCTGCTGGAGCCTGGCCCCGCCCGTGACAGCGCCCTTGGATACGGCGCGGCCCCTGGCCCTGCGCCCCAGGAGCGCGGGGCTGTGTGTGCTCCACCCCACGAAGGCACACAGGAGGTGGGTTTGTGGTCGAATCCCGAGGGGCTGCCGGTCTTCCTGAGAATGTGCGGAATCACCTGCAGGGCCCCCCTCCCACCACATGTCCAATTAGAGCGAGCAGGGTCCTGGTTGTGACACTTCCTCGGGCGCAGGCAGACAGGCGCTGGGGGAGGAGGGCGTGGCCGGGGCCTCGCATGCCGCCGTCTTGGCAGTTTTCTCACGCACCCGACCCCCGGAGTGGGTCTGGCGTGGTCCGTGCGGGCCAGAGTGTGAGCCACCCGGGAGCCACGGCCTCCTTTCCCGTAGCTGCACCAGGGCTGCAGGGCTGGTGGCTGCCCGGGACGGGGAAGGTGGGACACTGGGCGGGAGATCACCAGGCGAGGACGTGCTGGTGGAGACACTGGGAACTGCCAGTCCCCGGACACCGTGGTTCCCCGACTCTCGGTTCTGCCGGCAGACCGGTCCTGCCGTGGCAGCACCCGTGTGCTGCTGTGGCAGGGGTGAGCACGCCTGTGGAGCTCACTCCCCACCGTGCCAGCCGCAGCACACGCGCTTCCCACTGGCTGTTAGCAGCCGGCCCCCAAAACAAGCTTTCGGGGTGAAGCGTGTGCGCGAACACGGGGGCCCACCGTGGGCCAGAGGGTGGCGGCCCCTGGAGCCCCTCGGGCCCTCCCCGCCCTCGTGCGCAGTGTGTACGCGAGCTGGGGGACGGTGGGGGGTGGGAGCGCGTCTGGGTGGGTGTTGGGCCGCAGCCGGGGCCCTGCTCCGTGACCCGGACGCTGGGCAGGCTGGCCGTCGGCACAGAAGCGGGCGAGGGGTGCGGCGTGCCCCCCGGGCCCGTGTCGCTGGACGGTCTGGTGTCCACGGAGCCTGTTTGCACTTTGGAGCGCGTGCCGACGCTCCTTGTTAACACGTTCTCTGTCTTGTCTTCTTCGTGGCGGGGCGCATGCCGCGCAGGTTCTCCTTCCACCTTCTCAGGTGCGGCGTCGGTGGCACCGAGCCGGGCTGTGCGGTTCGGCAGCCGTCGCCGCCGCCCGCTTTCAGAACGCATTCATCCCCCCAAACTGCAGCTCTGTCCCCGTTGCGCTGACCCGCTCAGCCGCCCCCTCTCGGCCCCCCGGCGGCGGGTTCCTCACGGGGGAGTCCCCCAGACGTGCCCTTCGGTGTCCGGCGTGCGTCACTCAGCACAGGGTGTCCCGGCCCCTCCCGTGTTTGCCACGTTCAGTTCCTCCCTCGTCGGCCGCTTCCTCCCGTCGTCCACCCGTGCCCCCTGTCCAGCGCGGAGTGCAGTGGGTGCACGCTCCTGGGTGCTCCTGGCCCTTCCTCCAGACCCACCCGGCCGGCCGGGCGCTGGCTTCGGGACGGGGCGCGCTGAGGAAGGGCCCTCGGAGGGCCGGGCGCGCTCCCTCCTCCCGCAGGAGTGGGAGGTCCGGCCGCCCGACGGGAGCCGGGAGCCGGCCGTCTCTGCTCGCTGACACGGGGGAGCTGCGAGTGTCCGCCCCGAGCGGTGCCTTTCCACCACGCGGGGGGCTCGTGCACAGGCGCGGTTGGTGGGACTCTGCGCCTCACCACTTGCACTGTCCGAGGACGGCGACGCGGCGTGGGCTCCTGCGGGGGAGACCCTCTGCGACCCTCAGGATGGGAAACCTCCGCGTCTGACCCCAACAGCCTGCTCTCGGAAGTGGCTGTTCCTGTATCAGGAGGGCCCTTTGAGGGCGGGCCTTTGAGTGAGTGTCTGTGCCGTGACTTCCCGGCGAGGTCATCTCCCGACACCCCTCGCTCACCCGCCACAGTGAGAAGTGCTCCCCTCCCCGGGGTCTCAGCGGTGTTCGCCAGAGGGACCGCCGTCTGCCCTGAGTGACCGTGAAGTTAAGCGGAAGAAACCAGCAGCGGTGAACTATCGCCTTGGCCTGTCGTGCACGTCTTCAAAGTCTGCCTGTGTTTCCACCTCTGCCCTGTGGGGGGGGTGTGCTTTGTTGGGAAGAGTGTTTGCCTCACACGCGTGTGCCCGGCCCGAGGAGTCCCATTAACTCTTCGCGGCTCCCGAGCTCGCCACGGGCGCCCGGGCCCGGGGCCTGGCGGGTCTGCCTCCCCTCCCCCCTCCCCTCCCCGCCCAGTTCTCTGGAGACTGGACCCCGTGGGGGCCTCCCTTGCCACCTCGTTTCTGCCGTCGCCGAACGGTTCCAGGCCGCACTGGGAACGCGGAAACTTGCGGAGAGCGGCGCACGGAGGATGTGCAGGGAGGGGGCGAGGATGGGACCGCAGGGGGCCGTGGGGAGGGCAGGTGTTGGGACTGATCACGGGGTGCTGCTGAGAACTCACGCTCCTGCCTGCGGGCAAGACTCGCCGCCTGCACGGGGCAGACAGCACGTCTTCCGAGACGAGGACCAGCAGGACCTCCGCTCGTGGTCCCGCCCCCTGTGTGTGTGTGTGTGTGTGTGCGTGCGCACGCGTGCGTGCACTGCCTTCCCCAGGGAGGCCCTTCTCCCTGTCCCTGGGTCCCCGGGCCCAGCGTCGGTCGGTCGCCACAGGGGCGCCCAGCCCCAGGCCCTCGCGCCTCTGCCCTCGCCCCGCGCTGGCAGGCGGGCGCCCCTGGCGGGGCGGGCCCCAGAAGCAGGCGGCGTGTTCCTGGGCCAGGCCGGCCCGCTCACTCTCCGGGTTGAGTCACCGAGTCACCGAGTCACCGTCAGGACGTCTCCCGTGACGTTTTTCCCGCGCCCGCCCTCTGCCTCGCTTCCACCGGACGGGACGCATGGCCGTGCGAGGACTCACGCACCCGGGGTCGGCCCTGCGCTGCGTTCGGGCTTCTGCCCTCGTGCCTCTCGGTGTGTCCTCCGTGTCCGTGGGGGACGCTGCCCTGCCCCGCGCCACCCGAGCCCCCCCCCCACCGGTTCCGTTCGGCTGTCCGTCGGGACGGTGGACAACGGAGTGGAACCTTGGAAATCGTTTCTGTTCCCCGGCCCCCTGGTCCTCGCTCGCTCCGCCTGTGGGGCCGCCGGCCGCCGTGGGTGGGCATGCGCTCGCACTTGCGGGCTCACTGGGCGCTGCGTGGGGTTTCATGCCTGTGGCCAGGCGCCGCGTTGTCGGTGCGGGTGGCGGGGCTCCGCCCAAGGTGGCCGTTGGCGCGGGGCGACAGCCCAGCTCCCTCCTGCTGCTGACCGTTTCCTTCCCTGCGCTCTCCAGGTTCCCGGCGCCTTCCCGTGCACCCAGGTGAGGCTGCTCAGGTGAGACTGATGGCCGCCCCAAGGAGCAGGTGCTGACGCCCCCAGCCTGGTGCTGCGCCTCCTGACACCACTGCCCATCCAGGATCTAAATGCCACAGCGCCCCTGGGGCACGGTGGGCTGCGACCCGCTGTTGCCGGGGAAGGTACGTTGTGTGGGCACAGCCGTGCGTCGCGTGAGTTCCCGGGAAGGAGGCAGAGGGGCGGGGCGGGCCCGCTGTGACAGGACGGAGTTGCCGTGTCACAGGTAGCTCGTGGGAAAGCGAATCCGGAACCTCTTCTTTGGATGAAGGTTACACCCACTTAACAATTCGAAAGCATTAGCGTTGAAACTTAAAACAAGAAAAAGAAAACGCGGGTGCCTGTGAAGTCTTCTTTCCCCTGTGAGTTGCCCCCAGGGTCTTTTAAATTGCTCCCCAGGCTTTACCATCTTCCTGTGGGATTGTGTTTGAAAAGGCAAACCTGGCTCTCAGATCCCCTTGCAGCAGTGAGGCACTTTGTTTCGGTTTGGGGAGTCTTCAAAGAGCCAAGTCGACACAGCCAGCGTCGCGCCCGCTCCACCTCGGAGCGCTGCTTCTGTTCGTGGCACCTCATCCTGTCCAGCCTCCTGCGTCGGGGTCGGGGGTGGTGTGTGTGGGCCTTGGCCAGGCACTGCCCCTGGGTTTGTAGGGTTTAGCAGAAACTTTCAGAACTTTGTCTCGGTTTAATCTTAGCTCTTGTTTCCCTGTCTCCAGGCTCAGCCTCCGGGAGGGAAAAAAACAGGCTGGAAACCAAGACCTCCCACTGGAATCTAATTTTAAATTTGCAATCTGTTGTCTTGTGATTTTCGTTTCAAATTTAACTCTGAAACAAATACATTTCCTTCTTTCTCCTGCAGTTTTGGAGGTCTGTTTTCAAGTCAGAGGAGGGTAATCATCGTGTTTATTTTAATAAGTTTTTAAATACCTCTGGGGAGTGGAGTACTTTATTAATAACCGTAATGTGCGGACACCATCAGGCACCTTCCACCCGGATGCCGGGCGCCCTCAGCCGAGAGGAGGAACCTGCCTGCAGGGCGAGCTCGGTGGGCGGGGCCGATGGGGCCCGACGAGCGCAGGTGCCGGACGTCGCCCAGGCGGCCGCAGCCCCGAGCGTCCCCAGGGAGGACAGCTGTGCTGCCCGGTGTGGGCAGTGGAGGAGGGCGAGGCCACAGCAAAGGGGTGCGTCCCGAGCGGGACAGGTGTGCCTGGGTGCCGGTGACCGCGCCCTAGACACGGCGGGGCGGCCAGGCCCGGGGCCGCTGGCTCACAGGTGGGGGCGCTACGTCTGAGCTCGGGCGCGGCTCCTCTGCCCCAGGTGGTTCCCCGAACCCACCGTGCCCTCTTCAGGTCCCCAGGAGCCCCGGGGCTCCGGGGCATGTCCCTTAAAAGGAGTTCCAGGTTCAGTGTAGAGACGCCAGAAAAACACAAAGAATACGTAGTTGTGGAAGTGACCTTCACCGCTTTTTCAGAGTGGTCAGATGTACAGTTTTTGTGCGGGTCTGTGGTGTGTGCGTGTTTGAGTGAAGTGTCACTCGTGTTCTGCTTCTCCTGTGGCGGGGACACTGCTGCACTGCCCCGGGAGTCCGCACCCCCCGCCCCCAGCGACACTCCTAGAACCCGAGTCTGCCCACGGCCGGCACCTTGGGGGTCCGCGCCAGGCTTCAGGTTCTACGTCCAGAGCCACGCGGCTTTGCTCTGGAGACGTGTGACCCTGACTGTGGGGTGACCCTCTGACGGTCTGGCCTACAGGCCGGGCTTCGAGCACGGGCGCTCTCCCAGTGTCCAGGGGCGGGGGCGGGGGGTGTTCCCCCCTGGGAACCAGTCCTCTGGGCCCCGGAAGCCTTCCCGGAGCCGCCTCGGTCCCGCGTGCTGGGCTCTTCGCAGCCCCATGCCCCTCGGGGCGTCCGGGGGCACAGCGGAGCATCTCTCGGCCCAGAGACCCCAGCCCGGGGGCGCCTGTGGTGTCGCCCGGCCGCCAGGGCCGGCAGGTCCCAGGCCAGCTCTGTACTCAGAGCCCCAGCCCCCCACCGGGGCCTTCAGAGGTCTCACAGGCCTTTCGGGAGAAGCTTTCTTTTTTCTCTTTAAGTCCTCGCCCAAGGACATGCTTACCGATTTTAGGGAGAGGAAGGGAGAGAAACATCAACGTGAGAAACATCGATTAGTTGCTACCCAAACGCGCCCTGACCCGGGATCAAACCCTCCACCTAGTGGCGCAGGGGGCACTGCTCCGACCACCTGGGCCGCTGGCTGGGGCGCGGGGGAAGCTTTCGGTGTCAGGGCGGTTTCCGCAGCCCCTAGAGACTCCTGTCTCTGGACTGTGTGCCCCCCACTTCCTGCCAAGTGGCTGCGGTCGCCGGGAGCATCTCTGGGTGGGACGCGGCCGGCCGGCCCGCAGTGCCCGTCCTGAGGGTGACCCCACTGCCTGCCTGCCTGGGCTGGCCGGGACGGGCGCCATGAGCACCACAGGCCCTGGGGTTAGGGTTAGGGTGCGCGGCAGCAGAGGTGCCCGCGGGTGCGCTCGAGGCCACGGCCTGGCCTTGACCCGAACCCTGTGCGGCTCTCAGGCTTCCGTCTGTGCCGCTCAGTCTGTGCAGAGGGACGGCTGGCTCGCCGCCCCCCTGAGCGTCTTATTTTTCGTTGGGGAGACGGAGAGCGGAGACACGCCGGCACGCCCTGTCTGCTCGCAGACCTCAGGGCCCAGGGAGGCTGGCCCTGCCCTCGGTGCTGCCGGCGGGGCTGCCGACGTGCGGCCCGGCGTTCTTCGGGGCGGAGGGCACCCGGGCTGGTCGTGCGTGGCCAGCACGGCTTGTCCCGTTCCCGCCACTCGAGGTTTTGCCTCTCTTCTTGCTTCTGGAAGGTGCTGGCCAGAGCCGTGACTTTGGGGCTCTGACGTTCCAGGGGACGGTCTGTGGGTTGGACGTGCCCCCTGGGGGGGTCACATGACGTGTGCCCTGGCGGGAATGTTCCGGGGTCTGCGTGAGCTGCCCCGCTCTCGGGGGACGTGAGGCCTGGTCGTGGGGTGCGGCGACGGGCTGGGCAGAGCGGCGGGTCAGGCGTGGCCCCCGGGGGCCAGGGCGGAGGTGGGTTCTCCTCCACGGGTGTCAGACCGTCCGAGATGGCCACCGCGAACACACCTGGGTCCCCAGGTGCCTGTCCCTAGTCTGTGCACCGTGTGCCTCCGCCAGTTCCAGGGTCACGTTTCTGAGGGCGGGGCGGGGCGGGGCGGGGCGGGGCCTCCTCAGGCCACTCACTGCTGACAGCCTGGCTTTGGGTCGCCAGTGTGGGACGCCAGCTGGGTGCCCAGTGCCTGTCCCCTGAGGGAGTCACCGCGCAGGTGGCTGACGGAGTCAGCCCGGCCATGGGCCCAGCTGCCGCGTTTCCCTCCTGCCCTTGCGGGCCGTCCGCACTGGCGTGGAGACGGCTCGCTGCTGCATAGGGCGGACAGGCCGCCTGGGGTCACGAGCTCCGGGGGGTTTCCTGGTCCCCCAGGCGGGCGGTGGTCGCCGGGTCCCTGGGAGACGCCGGGCGGTGCTCGGGAGGCGCCTGGCCGCGCCATGTGGCCCCGGGGGCAGTGCGCACGCAGTGGCTCGACCACGTGAGGGCCCCCCCCCCCCCGCCCGCCCCGGTGCAGGGCGCCCAGCCAGATGCACGTGCGCCGGGCCTGCCCCCGGAACCGAGCCTGCCAGTCTCTGTGGAGCGGGGAGCGGGCTTCCGTGGTGCGCTTCCCACTCCCACTCCCTCCTCCTGGCCGCAGTCCGAGTGAGTTTCAGCGCGCCGTGGAGTTGAAGGGACAGGCTCTGCTCTGTGAGGGAGGGTTCCTCGGGCTCGAACTGTCCACATTTTCTCTTCCGGTGGATTTGGGAGAGCAGGGTGGAGTCTGAAGGAAGCAAAGACCTTCAGTTTTCTGGGAGGGGGGAGGGAGGGAGGTGGTCAGGGACGCCACTCAGGTCTCGTCCTCTGACGTCGGTGAGGCCCTCGTCGGGCGGCCAGGCGTGGGTCTGGGAGCGGGGGCAGGACCCCAGGCCTGCAGCTGAGCGTGCAGCCGCGGGAGGAAGGCAGGTGCCTCCCCTCCCCCGCCCACCAGAGCGGCGGTGTGCACGCTGTGGGGGGGGGGCGTGGGCAGCTCCCCCCGGGCCAAGGCGGGTGTGGGTGTGGGTCTCTGGCGATGGTGCTGGGGCTGCGTCACACCCCGCGGGGGCGTCTCAGGAGCCGCCGGCTCTGCCCCTGCCCTTCGGTGGCTCAGTCGTCCCTCCCGCCCCTCCCTCCCTCTCTCTGCTGCAGGCCGCTCAGCCATGGGGAACGCGGAGAGCCAGAGCGTGGAGCACGCCTTCTACGGGGAGAAGCGCGCCAGCCTGGGGCGCAAGCACACGTCGCGCTCGCTGCGCCTGTCGCACAAGGCCCGGCGGGCCCGGCACGCGTCCTCGGGGAAGGCGGTGCCCCGGAGCGCCGAGCCGAGCCTGCGCTCCAGCAGCACCCCCAGCATCCCGCAGTCACTGGCCGAGAGCGGCCTGGAGCCCTTCGCGCAGGAGGGCGGCCTCGAGGACTTCGGGGGCCCCGGCTGGGTGGACCGCGCGGACGGGGGCCTGAGGCCTGTGTCCTACACCGACTCCTCCGTGGCGCCCAGCGTGGGCAGCAGCATCGTCCTCGCCGCGGCCTCCGTGCCCAGCGTGCCCGACTCGGAGGACAGCAGGCTGTACGGCGAGGACGCGGCCTATCCGGCCGAGGGCGGCGGGCGGCCACACCCCTACGCGCGCCCCGGGCCCGCGTTCCCGGAGAGTGCCAGCTTCCGGAAGAAGCGCTCCAAGTCTGCGGACATCTGGCGGGAGGACAGCCTGGAGTTCTCGCTCTCTGATCTGAGCCAGGAGCACCTGACCAGCAACGAGGAGATCCTGGGTCCCGCCGAGGAGAAGGACCGCCAGGAGGCCCGGCGGGCAGAGAGCCGGGTGGGCTCGCGGCCGCCCGGCGCCTGTCAGCGCGCCAACTCCCTGAGCGACCTCTGTGCTCCGAAAGGCGCCGGGGCGATGGCCAACGGGGGGCCCAGGAGCAAGTGCGCCGGCTACTGCCGGAATTTGGCGTCTGACCGCCCCCACCGGGCCGACCACAAGGCACTGCCCGCGGCAGCCGAAGAGGCTGTTCCCTACAGCTACAACACCCTTCCCTGCAGGAAGTCCCACTGCCTCTCAGAAGGTGCCACCGACCCACAGCTGAGCCACAGCAACAGCATGCAGGGCAGGAGGGCCAGGACGACTCAGGTAACGTGGCTGCGGCGGGGGGTCGGAAATGGTGCGTGACCTCCCCTGCGTGCGCTTGCTCTGCCAAGGTCCCCATGCTTTCCATCAGGTTTCCCGGGGGCCGGGGGGCTGCCTTCTGAGGCTCTGCCTGCCTTCACCGTCCGTGCCTGAGGGGTGGGGACCAAGGACAGAGTGGGCGTGGGGGCTGCAGGGGCAGCAGTGGAGCACAGCTGGCGAGTCCACAGTGAGAAGCTGTCTCTCTGACCCAGTTTCCCCCAGCGCCCTGCAGGTTCTCCGCGTCCTTCGTAACGGCCCCATGGGTGGGCGGGTGTGCCCATCCTGGGCACTGTGGGGGCAGCCTGTCCGAAGGGGCCTGGGACCCAGGGCGGCCCCGGGCGCCGGTCAGCCCCTTGGAAGCTGGCAGGCTGCCTCCTACCTGGGGGCCAGGTCAGTTTCCTGGGCCTGGCGGTGGGCCAGCCTCGCTACCTCCAGAGGGTGGGTCACGGAAGGACAGCCCCCACGTGGCAGCCAGCTCTGGCACCCATAGGTGCAGGCTGTCTGGCCGACGTGCAGGACACACCCTGCCCTTGTGACGCGATGCTGAGGCCCGTGGGGCTCCTCCCTGCGGCGGTGGGCGGTCTTCCGAGTCCCTGCTGCTGGGAGGCGCGGCACGGGCAGGGCCTCGGGGCCCCGGGCGAGGGGAGAGTCCGATCCTCAGGAGTGAAGTGTCCCGGACACGGGTGGGTGGGAGGAGGACCTTTGGAGACACAGCCCCGGGGGTGCTTGCGTCGGGGGGTGCCGCCTTCCTCCTGCGCCCCGGGAACCTGCCGCAGAGCGGCGTGCGCCTGGCACCCGGGAATGACAGGCGTGCGGCGCAGCCTCCGAGGGGCGGCTGGTGTCTCTTAGGTGGGGCCCTGGGGCCTCTGCGTCAGAGCGGCTGCTTTTGGCTGGCGCTGCAGCGTCTGAGGCTCGTGGAGGCACAGGTGTGGCACTTGGACACCTGGATAGAACAGCCCCCACCTTCCCCGCCCTAGAGGTGGTGAGGGCTGGAGCTCGGCTCTCGGTGCCCCCGTCGAGCAGCCGGGGCCGAGCGAGGGGTGCCGGCAGCTGGCCAGTCATCGTTTCCGCACCCCGGCAGCGGGGGCTGTGGGTATGTGGGACATCCCCGACTGATGACCCAGCGGGCGGGGGCGGGTCCGCCAGCAGTTCCTCCCCGACAAGCCGGGTGACACAGCAGTGGGAAGGTGCCACCAAGCCTGCCTGGCTGCCCGCGGTGTTGGCGTGGGTGTCGCCGGGAGGGCATTGGTTGCGCTGGGCCGTGTGCTCTCGAGGTGCCGAGCTCGGCTGGGGCCGGCGGGCCTCTCACCGGGCGGGACCGCTTCTCTCGCTCAGTGTGGTGACCGCCTGGGAGTGGGGGACACAGCCGGGGTCACTGTGAGGCTCTGGCGTCAGGGGGTGCGCGCAGATGTTCGGGTGGGACCAGGAGGTAAGTGTGTGTCGGGGCCTTGCCTCTCGGGTGCATGGAGGCCTCGGGCGTCCTGTGGGGGTCCGTGGGGGCGCAGCGGGCTGTTGGGGATGCGTCCTTGACGGTTGCTTGTCCTTCTCTTCCCCCTCCCCGTCTCCTCTCACTTCCTTCCCCTTTCCGCCAGGCAGGTTTGAGGGGAGCGGCCCCCAGCTGGAAGGGGTGCTTTGGTGAGTGGGGAGGGGTGGGGGGGCACGAGGCCGACCGTTCCGATGGAGCCTGGCCGGGTGCCGTCAGCAGCTGGGCGGGGGTGGGCCCGCTGCGTCCCAGTGGACGTGGCGGCAGGACGGCGTGGGTTTTGCCCTCCAGCCTGCCGCCGGCCCGCGCCCCCCCGCCGGGACAGCTTCCCGAGGCCTGCGGTCCCTGTCCTGGAGCTCAGGGGGGCCCACGAGGCCTGGGGCCAGGCGGTACCCCCCTCTGTTCTGAAGTGTCCCCTGTGGGGCTGGCCTCGCCCCCCACCTCACAGAGAGCGCGCGAGTCTGCGTGTCCGAGTCTGGGGCTGACGCCTCCGCTGTTCTCGGGGGACTGAGCTGCGCGGAGAGGCATCCGGAGGTTTGGGAAGTGCGCCACGCCGTTTCCCACTGCCCGCGGTCCCCTAGAGAGCTCGCTGACGGCCACTCCCTGGGTGTCCCGTGCCAGGAGGGGGCAGGAAGGGGAGCTGGGCCCCTTCACAGGGTGCTCCTGTTTGGGCAGAGGGCCTGTGCCCACGGGCTCTGGGGGCACACAGGTGGGCCCCGGGCGGCAGAGGGACGGGGCCGCGTCCCAGGTCTGCCTGGAGCCCTGCCCACGCGTCCTTCGTCCCCCTGGAGTCCCTGTGCGCCCAGTGCGAGTGCAGTCGGTCCCCGGTTACTCCTGTCTCCATCTTTGCCTGACCCTATTTCTTATTAAAAACAGTGTCAGGGAGCAGGGAGGGTCCCCGTGCCCCACACCAGCCGGGGGTGCTCTGTGCCTGCCGGGGGTGCTGTGCGCCAGGTGCTCCCACTGCAGAGTCACCTTCCCTGCCGTCGGCGTCCTGCTCTGCCCTTGCTTTCCGGAAGGTGTGTAGTGCGGTGCCCGCTTGCACTGTCGGTGGTGAAGGGACGACCACCATCGAGTTAACATGAACCCCCCCGCCCCCCCCACGCATCAGCACCGCCCCTTTGGTGGTGGTGAGCACGCTCAGTCAGGGTCTGCTCTCAGCACACTGCAGTGTGAACGCCGTGCCGTCAGCCGCCGTCACCGGCTGCGCCTCAGACCCCAGAACTTCCTCATTCCCCCGCTGGCGGGCGGCACCTGCACCCAGCAGCCCCCTGGCGCTGGGAGTCCCTGTGCCTGGCCCCGTGTGCGGGTGAGTCATGCCGTGCGTGTCTCTGGGTCCCCCACGTGGGCCTCTGCCCCCCTCCAGCTGCTCGCTTGGTGCCGGGTCGCCCTGGAGGTGAAGCCGAGTCCCCTCGAGGCATGGACCGCGGCGCGCACAGGGGCGGGCCCCGCAGCCTCTCAGCAGATCCGAGCCCAGGGCCAGGGCGTGGGTTTCTGTGGCGGTCCGGAACACCCTGTAGTTTCCGTGCGTCCAGACCCAAGTGAACTAATGCTTCGTGAGGCTGAAGGGCAAACGCCGGGGAAGCCCCAGCCCGCGCCTTCCTCTGCCTTCTGGTCTCTGCCCCGAAGACAGTGCCCGGACCGCGGGCTGTCCCGTCCGCCGCTGCTGTCGCCCTCCTCCCTCGCTCGCTGCTGCCGCTGTCTAATCACTGTTGGCGGAGGCGCCGGTAGCACCTCAGAGCGGCGGTCCAGGGTCTGCAGCCCGGAAGCGTTCAGCTCCGGAGCCGGGCAGTGCTTTGCAGGTTCCAAGTGGGTTGGCGCTGGGAATCGATACCCCCGCGTCTTGGCAGGTGCCCGAGCTGTCCTTGGCCCGGGGCCGGCGGTGGCCTGCTTCGGGCTCCCGGCGTCCGGCCTTGAAAGGGCGAGGTAATTGGAGCACGGAGTGCAGCGGTGGCCCTGCAGCCTTCTCCAGCTCAGTGCAGTGGGAGGCTGCCCGTTTTCTGGAAGCCCAGCCGGTCGGGGCAGGAGGACGGTTGCCTGCTCTGGGGACATGGGTCCCTGCTGGGTGAGTGGCTAAGGCAGCCCCCGGCCATCTTTTCAGTCGCCATGCTGTAAAACAGGCTCTTGACCAAACCCTTCACTTCCCTTTTTAAAAAGTGGCCTCAGCTGTGCCCATTGTACCCCAGCGGTCTCCTTGTTCCCCGTAAGCCCTGCCTGCAGCGCAGCGCACTGACCCCCTGCAGGGTTTCCTGGAGTTCCGGGCACTGGGGGCAGGGGAGGCGAGGCAAGGTGAGGAGCTCTGGGCTGGCGGCCGGAGCCACTCCACAGCTGACTTGCCCGTCCGCTCATCACCTGAGTCAGATGAGTGACAAGCGCTCTGCAGTGTCTCTTGCGTCTGTTCTCCTTGAACATTTCCAGCGGTTCGCCTTGGCAGTGGGGCACGTTCCCGGCACCCCGCCACACCTCGGATTTGTGCGGGTCGCGGGGGGGAGGGGGCGTGGGTGCCCTGTGGGTGGCAGGAGCCGCTGGGACTTCTCTGCCCGACGCACGTCTTCTTTCCCTCCTTTTTGGCTCCAAGGACGTGAACGCCGGCGAGGGCAGCGAGTTTGCCGACAGCGGGATCGAAGGGGCCACCACCGACACGGACCTGCTGTCCAGGCGCTCCAATGCCACCCACTCGAGCTACTCGCCGCCCCCCGGCCGTGCCTTCGTGGGCAGTGACAGCGGCAGCAGCAGCACGGGGGACGCGGCGCGCCAGGGCGTGTACGAGAACTTCCGCCGCGAGCTGGAGCTGAGCGCCGCCAACCGCGAGAGCCTGGAGGACGCGGGCTCGGCGCACAGCGACGAGCACTCCAGCGGTGCCCCGAGCTCGCCGGGCCGCTCCGACGTGCTGCGGGAGGCGGCGCGGGGCACGGTGCGCAAGGCGGGCGCGCTGGCCGTCAAGAACTTCCTGGTGCACAAGAAGAACCGGAAGGTGGAGCCGGCCGCCCGCAGGCGCTGGAAGCACTACTGGGCGTCCCTGAAAGGTGAGCCGGTGCTGGGGCGCTCCCTCCCCTCCCCCACCTGCTTCCTGGGGCGCCTGCGCGGGGGCTGGGGCGCCTGCAGACCTGAGCTTAGACCTCGTGCGTGGCGCTTGGAGTTCTGACGGCGAGGTCTGCCTCGTGCCGCCTTTCCGAGCCCCGCGCCGCACGGGTGCCTCAAGCACAGGCCGCGCGGCTGACCTCCGGCGCCTGACCGTCTGCCTTCGCGGGCGCTGAGTCCCCGGAGCAGCAGCCCCCCCCCCACTCCTCCCGCACAGGCTGCAACGTCGTCTCTGTCCCCGTGCAGCTAAGCTGCGGGAGCAGCTCACAGGTGTCGCCCTCCTGTGCACGCCTGGGCTCCACGGCGGTTTTGGAGAATGCGCTTAAAAAATCGTTTTTTCGTCATTTTGGCTGGTGAAGTGCCTCCCGAGGGGCCATTGGAGAGGGACGTCGTTGGCCCGAGTCCTCTGGAATTTCCGGTTTTCAGGTCGGAGACAGGATAGGGCGCTGTCGGTTGCGTAGGGTTCGTCCACCCTGGTGGCCCCCGGGCGTCTAGGGAAGGCCCGGAGCTGCCGCACGCGACAGAACCACCGTTCGCCGCCACGCCAGACAGCCGCGTGGTGCGCGTGGCCCTTCCCCTTAGCGCCGTGCACTTCTTCTGTGTGCCGACCACCGTCGCTTTGCCTGGTCATGAGCGTGCGGGGTGTCCCGTGCCCCTCGGCCTGCGCTCAGGGCCCCGGAGACTGTGACGTGCCGGGATTCGGTGTCTCGGGGAGAGCACGCCTCGAGCCCCCGGGCCTCATGCCACGGCGCTGTTGGGAGCAGGGCTGGCAGACGGGGGACTGTTGGGCAAGTTGCCGAGTGCCCAGGGCGAGCGCAGGGTGGAGGGACCTGGCCCCCTGGCGCGGCGCACATGTCGGGCTGGGTGCTGCCGGGCTTCACCCGCTGTGGCCGGTAGGGGAGTGTCCGGGGCCAGAGGCAGCGGGTGTGCGGGTCCCTGGGGGCCAGCCGGGTCGGGTGCACCCTGCTGCCCCTTTGTTGGCTGTGGCTTCCGTGCCCGGGAAGACGGGAAGGGGGTGTGGTGATTGGACGGCAGGTCTTGCTGCAGGTCACAGACCCTGCAGTGACAGCGTCTTACGCAAGATGGAACTATATCCGTGCGCACCACCCCCCACCCCCCCGCCATCAGACCGTCTAAGGCTGGTGCAGTGGTCCTTCCTGTGAAGTCCCGGGGGCCGGGGCTCCCTCCGTCTGGTCGCTCAGCTGCTCCCAGAGCCTGTGTGGTTGCGGGGCCCCCCAGCAGCCCTGCACTCCAGTGCTGAGCGGGGAAGGGGGGGGCGCCACCTGGGAGTGGCCCACGGCTCGCGTGCGTGCATCCCATTGGCTGGAAATGAGTCAGGCCTAGCTGCAAGGGAGGCGGCAGTGGCAGCCTCACAGCTGGGCAGTGTCCTGGGAGCACACGGCTGCCCCACGGAGGACCCTCTCGTCCACTTGCGTGGGGCAGGGGTGTGTGCGTCCGAGGCTCCTGCAGTTTCGGGGCGGCACGCCACCCCTCTCACGTTTAGCTGCCAGACTTGCTGGGATGGGCCTTTCCGTGGCTCCACTCCCCAGAACGTCTCCAGAAGAGCCAGGTGCTTTCTTTTCCTTTTTAAAAAACCGTTACTAGACATGCTTGTTGAGCGGAGAGAGGGACATCAGTCGGTTGTGCCCTGCATGCTCCCTGCCTGGGGATCGAACCTGCGACCTGGGCATGTGCCCTACTGGGCCGTGAACCTGTGGCTTCTGGGTGTGTAGGATGGCACTGGGGCCCACGGAGCCCCGGCCGGGCCGGGGGGCGCCGGGCCCTCCCTCCCGTCCCCTCTCATTGCTGGAGCCTGCCGCGCGGCTCGAGCGTGCGCGGGCAGCAGCGTCCTGGCCGTCGAGGGGCTTTCTGGGGGAACCGCGTGGAATGTCGGCGTCCAGCTTTACGTGTTACTCGCGGTGCCTGATGGAACGCCTCGCTGCGGTGCATGTGCAGTGTGCACCAGCAGTCCGACACGCGCGGGAAGCAGGACGGCAGGCCTGGGGAACCCCGTCAGCCCGCACCCCGCGTCCCACTGCGCGCTGGTGCGGCGGCCCTGCCTGTGGGAGACAGATGGCTGCCCGCGGGGGCTCTGTGGGCACCGGCTGCCGCGCGCTCCCGCGGGGCCTGCCTCGCCTGTGTGCGGAGGTGCCCCGGGGCTGGGTGTTGGGTGGGGGGGCTGTGTCACCAGCGGCTCCGCTGCTGTGGGGGGCAGGGTGAGATGGGGTGACGCGAAAGGCCCCTTCTTCACCTCCTGCTTCCCCCCTGCCCCCGCCCCCCACGTCTGCAGCCTCTGTGCCCTTCAGCGGCCTGCCCTCCCGTTTGTTTAGTTTGTGCTGAGTTTTTAACAGCCTGACCCGAGGGGCCCCCCAGCCCCTCGCGGTCCCCCGAGGGGGCGCTTTCAGAGTCCGGGCGTGGGGCGGCCGGGGGTGTGAACCGAAGAGGGGTGTCGCCTCGCAGTCCTGGAGCCTGGAGGGCCAGGGTCAGGGGTCAGCAGGCTGGGCATGTGCCGAGGCCCGTCTCCTGCAGGAGGAAGGCCTGCGGTGGCTGTCTCCCTTCAGTGTCATTGCCCTGTGGTCTCTCCGCACCCGCTCGGGTCCACGTTCCCCTCTTAGAAGGACAGCTGTCGTTCCAGGTTAGGGCCTGCCCGATGACCTTGCGTCACCCCACTCAGGCACGCCCTGAGTCCTGGGTTGGCCTCCAGCAGGTTGTTAAGGGGGGGGACGGGGGCGTATAATTCAGCGGTTTAAACAGGCCTCCCTGTGATTCTCATGGTGAACTGGTGGGGGGCCGCAGGGCTAGAACCACGCTGCCCAGGGGTCTCTGATTGCAGCTGGGACACGGGCGCACGGCCGCCCCCTCCTGCCGTCCCTGCAGCGTGTGCTCAGCAGCTCGGCCCCCGGCCCCGGGAGGAGCCTGTGTGTTCTCGGTGGCCCAGGTGTGAGGGCCACAGTCTGTCTGCGTCCAGGCACAGGACACAGAGCCGCTGAGTCCTTGGCCTCTGCGTCCTGTGATAAGGTCCTGCCATCTGTTGACCCCCTCGGGCCGGTCCTGCCAGTGATGCGCGGGGGCTGCCGCCGGCTTCCCTGAGCAGCCCGGGTGTCAAGAATTAACACTCAGGGCATCTGGGAACGCCGCGGAGGGGTGGGGGGGTGGCGGTTTCTCCGCAGGTCCTGTCGCTTCAGACAGAAGGACTGGGGTCTCACGTGGAGTCGTCTCTGGCCCGGCCCCACTGACAGCCGGCGGCGCTCGGTGACGCTCAGGCGGAGGCGAGGGTGACGGGCCAAGGGCCTGCGGTCGGGAGGGGAGTGGGCACGTCCCGGCCGGGCCCCCGCACGCTCGTCCCAGCTTGGGGATGAGCGGGAGCTGCGTGGGAGCCTGCCTCAGCCGTCTGCTGTCGCGGACGGCTGTGAGCCGGGGGTGGGGGGGGGGCTGGGCACGGAGACCGCAGGCTGGGGAGACCCTGGAATGCGCGGTGTCCCCTCCCTCACGACCCACAGGCCGCGTGCTCGGTCCTCAGCCTGCGGGGCTGTGCCGACGGCCGGGCCTCCCGTGGCGCTCGTCACAGCGCGGTGGGGGCGCGTCCGCAGCCCCGAGACCCCTGTGTGCCCGTGAGGACGCTTGTATGCAGCTTTCTCAAACAGACGCCAGGCCCAAAGAGGCCCCGGGGGCCGTGCGTTGTGTGAGGGGCCCCCGCGGGCGCGGAGCTGCAGCTTAAGGCCTCGTGCGGGCTCGCACCGGTTCTCCCCGCCGGGTTTCAGGGGCACCTCCGTGTCCGCTCTCTCCTGGGGACAGGCACCCAGGACTCACGCAGCCCCTGCTCTCTTCCCAGGGTGCACGCTGCTTTTCTACGAGAGCGACGGCAGGTCAGGCATCGACCCCGCCAGCACCCCGAAGCACGCCGTGTGGGTGGAGGACAGCATCGTGCAGGCCGTGCCCGAGCACCCCAAGAAGGACTTCGTCTTCTGCCTGAGCAACTCCCTGGGCGATGCCTTCCTCTTCCAGGTTTGTCGGGGCTCTGTTCGGGATCTGAACCAGGCCCCTCCTCTCCTGCCCCCGCCCTGACATCCTCGTAGGGGCGCGGTTTCCTGTGGCTCCTTAGAGAAACGCAGGAGACAAAGGACGGCCACTCGTGGAACCGCAGGAGCACTGGCACCCCGGGTGTGCTCTGCGCGGCCGCAGGCTGGGCCTTGGTGCTGTGGCCCCTGCCCTTGGCGCAGCGCTCTGGAAGAGGGGCCAGGAGCCTCGGTTTAGCCGGGGTTTGCAAAGCTGCCGAGCTTTTCCTGTTGCAACATGCTCTCTGCCGACAGGACTCAGGAAGGGAAGTCATGGCCTCCCAGGAACGCGGGGCTGTTCCCAGGCCGTTCCTCTTCCTTCTCATCGAATCTCCGTGCCTGGTGCTCTGCAGGCGGGACTAGTGATCGCATTGAGAAGTGGCCACCTGCCAGCCACCCGGGTTAGCGTTTGCTTGTGCAGGGGCCCTTGGAGCTGGGTCAGCTGTGGCACACCCCCCCGGGCTCCTGGCCGGGTCGGTCGGGAAGGCTCCCCCGCGCATTCCGCAGTCAGACCGGGGCTCCTTATGAGAGAGTGATTTTGTCTGGGGACAGAAAACAGTCTGTTGTTCTTTAAGTTTGTGATATGAAACACACAGAAGGAAGAGTACACAAAATGTAAGTGTGTTACACAAATAAGCGTCACAAGGTGAATCTGGGGCCACCGCCCGGTCATGAAACAGGAGTTTGTGGTGCCCGTGAACCACCCCGCCCCCCGCACGCAGGCAGTGCGCCGGCTGAGTGGGGTGCACGTGCGTTTTAGCCCACGGGCCGGGACTCCGCTGTGTATCCGGGGCGTCCTCACGCCCCCTTCGTTGGGGGCGGTGGTTTTGCTCCAGGTGAAGCCCGTGGCTGACAGTGCGTCTCCGGTGCTTTGGAAACACCGTTCCACTGCCGCCGGCCCTCCACGGACCCCGAGGAGAAATCAGCTGTTTCGGTTTGTTCCCCCTAGAGTTAACGGAGCTTCTTGGGTGCACACGTGTGTGTGTGTAAATCACACGTACAGAGCTGGTGGCCGTTGTTCCTTCAAACAGTGCTCTGCCTGTTGGCTCCCTTTGGGAGCTGTTTTAGTTAGGGTCCTTCCCCCCGCCTGGAAGCCACAAACGTGCCAGCCACCACCGAGTGCCGTCTCCTCTCGGTCCTCGGTTCCCCCGTCCCCGGAGGGCGTCGTGGGCCGTCCCCAGCAGCGCCGTGGCCGTCTGCGGGGCGTGTGCTGATGTTAGTGTTCAGCTCCCGCATCAGACGCCGGGGACGTGGTGCCCAGCGGGGAAGGAGTGGCGCCCGGTGGGGCGGAGAGTCTCCCAGCGGGTGTCCAGAGCCGTGCAGGGTGTGCTGCCATGGAGGGCGGCTGCCTTCTTCCTGTCTGCAGGCTTCCCTGTGTGAGGTGTGGGAGGCCCAGCAGGAGGAGCCTGGGAGGGAGGGGGTTGTGAGTGCTCACACCGCTGCGTGCAGTGGGGGCTCGGAGTGGTGGTGCAGGCCATGCGTCTGGCGGAGCGCAGATGCTCAGTGAGGGGCGCTCGCAGCTGTCCGGTCAGCTGCACAGCAGAGACCAGCGCCCTGTCCTGTGGGTCTGTGGGTATCTGCGCAGAAGTCGGCTCCGGCTGCCCCGGGGAAGGCCAAGGCTTTGCGTTTCATCGGGCCCTGGGTGGTCTCTTCAAGTGCCAGGCCTGGCTCTACGTACGTGTCTTAGTGGACAGAGGGCACGAGGACGAGGGGAGCCGGCCTAGGGGACATCTGGAGCCCCCCTTTCCCCCGGGGCCCCCAGTGGACTGGGCAGGAGGGACTTGGAGGGCTCTCCCATCTGGGGCGCGAGTGGGCTCTGGGGCAGCTGCTCAGCCTGCCTGTGGCCCCAGCACACCGGCATGGCCGTTCCTGGGAAGCTCTTGGCTTTTCAGAGGTCTGCATGGCCAACCAATGGCCAGGTTCCAGAACCTTCTTTATCATGCTGAGTAAACTCGCTTGTCCCGGGGACTTTGCCACATTCCTTTGCTCCTGCCATGTCCTGGCACCAGCACGGGGTTCTGGGAGTTCGGTGACCTGAGAGCCTTCAAAGTGAGGCGCGCTCCCCCTCCCCCGGCCTGCCCGCCTGCGGCCCCAGAGCAGCCCCAGGCTGCGCTGGCCGGAGGGGGCGAGGGCTCCCTGCAGAGCCTGTCCGAGGGGCTCTTCAGAGGCTGAGACGGTGCCACTCGGGGCCTCTTATCGAAGAGCTTCCCTTCCGTGGGCGCGGAACGGGCACTCGCTCCACCAGCGCGTCAGCTGGCGCGGGTCGGGTTCCAGAGCCGCCGGGAGCTCTGCGCCCTCCCGTGGCCTCAGTGCCTCCTCACCCCGCCCTGGGCCTGGCGTCCGCGGCGCTGCCATGACCCGTGCCGCCCGCGCGCTCTCTCTCTCTTGGCGCGGGCTCCTTCAGCCCTCCGCTCCGGGTGGGGGAGCGCGGCTGGGCGGCCGCGGTGGCAGGGCTCCCTCGTCCGCAGGACCCCTGCGCTCGCTGTGGCGGGCCCTCCCCGGTGGGGGGTGGGGGCTGTGGGCTGGGCCCGGGGCGCGGCTGGGCCGGGGGCGGGCTGCTCCCTGATGCCCAGAGGTGTCTTCTCGCCCCGTCCTCGTGTGGCGGAGCGGGCGGTCGGCTCTCCGGTCTCTCGTTACCAGGACACACACTCCTGCCTTGCCATCGGGGGAGGGGGAGGGGGGGGTTTCAGCGTCTGGAGTTGGGGCCGCTGGGGGTCCAGGTGCGTGGGCGAGCAGACCCGCGGCTTCGCCGGGCCGGCCCGTGGGCGCGGGTGGCGGTGTGTCCCACCCGGGACTGACTGGCACTGTCAGTGACGGGCAGCAGGGGGTCAGCACGCCGGCCGGCCCCACGGGTCTGTGCACCGGCAGCCGGACGGGGTGCGCGGCCCGTCCAAGCCCCTGAGCGGCACCGTCTCCCCCCGCAGACCACCAGCCAGACGGAGCTGGAGAACTGGGTCACCGCCATCCACTCGGCCTGCTCCGCCGCCGTCGCGCGGCACCACCACAAGGAGGACACGGTGCGGCTGCTGCGGTCGGAGATCAAGAAGCTGGAGCAGAAGATCGACATGGACGAGAAGATGAAGAAGATGGGCGAGATGCAGCTCTCCTCCGTCACCGACTCCAAGAAGAAGAAGACCATCCTGGACCAGGTAGCCGCCCCGCTGTGTTTGCGCACGGCAGGGTCCTCGGGTTGTCGGCGTGTCACGCAGGCTGCCCCGGTCTGTGCTGTGGCCGGCCGTGTCCCGGGAGCTCACGGGGACTGGGATGGGCTGGGGGGAGGCAGAGGTCCCGCGGAGCCGCCCCGGGTGGGCCTGTGGTCCCCGCAGACGCAGATGCGAGGGCTGGGCTGGGAGGGTGCGGGAGGGGGCGGGAGGGGTGGTGCCCTCGCCGTTACCGCCCAGGATGTACGGCTGCGGGTCTCTGCGGAAAGTCACACCAGCCGTGTAACACTCAGCCCCCGTGGCCTGAGAAACTCAGGGTGCCTCTGGTTCCCCCCTTCCGGTGAACATCAAGCCTGTGCCCGCACAGGGACCCGCGGCGCCTGAGCAGGGGGAGCCGGCAGCCTGGGCCCCGCGCTCACCCCCTCCCCGCTGCCGCCGCTGCAGATCTCCGTCTGGGAGCAGAGCCTGGAGCAGCTGCAGATGGACCTGTTCCGCTACCGCTGCTACCTGGCCAGCCTGCAGGGCGGGGAGCTGCCCAACCCCAAGCGCCTCCTGGCCTTCGCCAGCCGGCCCACGAAGGTGGCCATGGGCCGCCTGGGCATCTTCTCCGTGTCGTCCTTCCACGCCCTGGTGAGTGGCCGCGGACCGGCTGCTGAGAGCCGGGTGTCCTGGCCGCTAGTGCCCAGCAGGACGCGGCCGCAGTCCGCACGGGAGGGGCTTGCTGGGGTTACCGCTGGGGCGCCTCCCCCCACGGCCTCTCTCTGCCTCGGGGGCAGGTCTGCCTGTGGCTCGGCTCTGGCGTTCCACTTGCGCCCTCCTGCTGGGGCCTGGATTGTCCTGCAGGGAACACGCGGGAGGTGGGGGCGGGCGGGGTCTCTCTTGGCCGGGGTTGGGGGGCGCGGTGCTGGCAGCTCCTGTGTTGTTCTCAGGCGGGTCGTGTTCCTCACCGGAGTCCGTGTTTTGTTTGTGCTGACCTCAGGGAAGGCTCGGTGGAGGCGCCCCCCACACACGGGGGTGTGGGCTGGCTCGCTCGCTCGCTCTCCCCCTCGTACTCGCCCGCCGCGGACGTCACAGTGTGTGTGGGACTCGGCCGTCTCGGGGCGCTCCCCGCGCACTGTCGTGTCTGTCGTAGGCTCTGTGGCCTGGGACGCCCGACGTGTTAGAGGAAAACAGGCCCCCCCCCCCGCCCAGCACAATGGGAGCGCTGGCCTGGGGGGAGGATGCCCAGCGGACCGCAGCGCGGCGGTGAGACCGCCGTGTCGGGTGCTCGCAGTCTGCGATTCCAGGAACTCCCTGACTCTCGAGCGCCTCTGTGTACTTCGGTCCCTCCCTGCCGACAGATTGCTCTGGGCGAGTGACACGGCTTTGGCGGGCCCAAGGCCGCAGCTGTGGGAAAGGTGCCGCCCTGCCCACGCCTGCCGGGGGCTTGGGCTCGGACGGGCCTTGGTTCCGGAAGCCGCTGCGCGGCCTGCCCACCAGCTGGGCCCTTCATTCCCAGCTGGGATTCAGCCGGAGGCCTCGCCGTTCTTTATAAATAGGTTAGCATCATCATTCCGATAATTAGGGTAGATTAGCGTTTTTAAAGAAGTCCTGAGCCTATTTCTGGAGCTATTAAAGCCAGCTTCCTGGTTTGTTCTGCTGACAGCGAGCCTTGGCCTCCTGCGCACTCCCCAGCGGGCGCGGAGCCCTGTTTTTAGCAGGGGCGGTCTCGGAGCCCGACGGACAAATCCGGCACCGGCCTGTGGCTCTGGGGCTGCTTCTGAGACCCCGACCCTAACTCGCAACTTGGCCAGACCCCCGTGCACCGATTCAGAGGTGAATCAGGGTGGAAGTGCTCTCACAGGCCCCCCCCCGCCCCCCCCCGAAAGCTGTGCCCGAGGGAGTGTGTCCTGCCATCTCTGACCCTCTCGGTTCCTCTGTCTCGGGGGCTGTGGTTGGGGCCCTTTCCTTCGGGGGGCAGCGGGCTCTGAAAGGAGAGCCCGCTGCCCCAGAGGCGGGGCTGGGGGGCCGGGAACCTGAGAGAAGAGGATTTCGAGCTGCCTGTGCGACTGCTCGCTGTCCCTGCCCCGTGCGTGGCTGCAGTGATGCGCGGCTGCACGCCCACAGGCCCCCGCACGCTTTCCTTGGGGGGGTCCGTCCCTGTCCCGCAGACCGCGGGCGGGGGTGCCCAGGCAGGGGAGGCTCTGTCTGAGTTCCCGGGTGTTTGCTTTCACCTCCTGTCGGTGTTCTCTGACCCAGGGAATGCTCTTCCCCCGGGGCCCGAGCGGCCCTCGATCCAGCCTGTGTCCGCACCTGTCTCCCCCTTTGTCCGTGGAGGGCGGGGGGCGGGCTGTGCGGGCGGCCGTGCTGGGGGAGGGGCGGGGGGCGTCGGAGCAGGTCAGTCCTGCGCCCGGGAGGGCCTGTGGACACCGGGAACCTGCAGTGACCCCCGAAGGGGCCAGTGTGCCCCTGGGGAGCGGTCCTCGTTCGGTTCTCGTGGCAGCCGAGGGGAGCGGCCGAGTCCCCCGGCTGTCTGGGCGCCGACCCCTGCAGAGCCCGCACGCTGGTCCTCTCGGGTTGGCAGCTTCTCTCTTCAGAGCCCCTCGGCTCAGGGTGTGCACCATTGTCCTGGGGGCAGCGGTTCCCGAGGCCCTGGTGGCACAGAACCGGCACCGTGGGAGCCACCCGGGAGCAGCCCGTGTGCTGGGGGGGCCGAACCCGCCGGGTGGCTGGCGGCCAAGAGGGTTGGCGACGGCACGGGTCTCTGTTCTCGTCCGTCCGTCCGTCCGTGTCCCTGCAGTTGTCACCGACGGGGCCGTGGTGTGGCCTTCTGGTGCTTGTTGGTTTACTTGTTCATTCGGCCGAGGGATGTTTGGGAGCAGCAGGCGGGTCGGCCGCTGTTCTTGTGGTCAGGGCCGCGCCGGCCAGCAGCCGGCTGTCCCACGGGGAGTTGCCCGTCGGGGGCTCGAGGACGCGGGGTTTCCCGGACGTCCATCTCAGCACGGGCCGGGCTGGGCCTTCTGCTCCCAGGCCGCCTGGCTGTGCGTCCTGGCTCTCCGTGTCTTGGGGCAGGGGGTGCCATGGGCAGACCGGCAAGATGTCCCGGCCAAGTGTCTGCAGACCCCGGGACGCAGCGCACCCCCCGAGGGTGGAGTCCACGCCACGTGTCAGCCTGGGGAGGACGTGCGTTCCCCTCGGAGAGCGCAGTGGCCGCTCGGGTAACCTGGCACGCTGAACTCGGGGTGGCCCCTTCTGAGACCCGCGGCGGGCGCTGGCGGCGTGCCAGCGTCTCGGTGGGGTTGGCTCCTCCTTCGGAAGCAGGCAGGACACGGCTCTCACTGCCCTCGCACCCAGAGCCCGGGCCTGCGGGGCCAGCGGAGGGCCCCCTCTCCCGGGACCTTCCGTCCTCACACTGCCCTCTGGGCCTCCCACTGCCAGGAAGGGGGGTCTGGGAGGGTGAAGGGAGACCCCATCTCAGCACGGTTCCTGCTTCCCACGTGGGCCTTTAGCCGACTTCCTGTCTCCCGGCCCCCAGCCCGGTGCCTTTCCGGCTCCTGCGCCTGCGGCAGGAGCGCGTGGTGTTGGGGGCGATGGGCAGGTCAGGTCACTGGTCTGCTCAGGGGGTGGTCTCCGGGACTGCTGAGGAAGCTCCGTGGAGGGGCTGGGGGGGTCGGTGAGCGGAGACGTCAGGTGGGCGCGCAGGGGCCGGGTGCGGACTTGGCCGCCGGCGCAGCGGCGGCTTTGCGGCGCTGGGGGGTCTCAGTGTGCGGCCAGTCGCCCCCGGTGCACGTGCCCAGCCCGCGACCGTAGGACGGGGTCCCGAGAAACGTTCCTTGGAGGTCTCGTGCGCCGTCCCTGACGTGTGCAGCAGGGACGGGGCGTGCCGGCCTCGCGCCTCCCTGGGTGCCGGGCAGGGCCGTGGGCTCCATGCTCAGGCTTGGGGGGGGGGCCGGGGCCTGGGGGGCAGGCCTGACTGCTGCCCGCGGTCTCCCCCACCCGCACTCTCAGGTGGCGGCACGCACCGGGGAGACGGGAGTGCGGCGGCGCACGCAGGCCACGCCCCGGCCGGCCAGCAAGCGGCGGAGCCGGTTCTCCTCCCTGTGGGGCCTGGACACCACCTCCAAGAAGAAGCAGGGGCACCCCAGCATCAACCAGGTGGGTTCTGGGGGTGGGGTGGCGGGCATGGTGGCTCCCCTCACTGTGGGGGTGGGGGTGGGTGAGTGGGGGGGGCACATGGGCGTTCCTTTGTTGACGCTGAGGATCCCCGAGAGCCTGCTGCTGACACAGGGTCCGTCTCCGGCGGAGATGCTGAGGCAGACAGCATGGGCCCTGGCGCCCGCCCCGCCCTTCGCCCACCCATCCCCAGGCTCCCACTGCGTCCTTCCCGGGCCCGGCCCAGGGCCGCCACAGGCATGCAGCGTGTCCCCTGAGCAGGGCAGGGCTCCGTGGCTGAGCCGGGGGGCACCTGGCCCGGGAGCCTCCTCAGCCTGGGCCCCCGGACACCTGGTGGTCAGCCCTGACTTTCTGGGGCTGACGTCCAGGCTGCCCTGCTGCTGGCAGAGCTCATGCCCCTCAGGCCTCCCCTCCCCCCGTGCCAGGGTTCGAGGCGCCCTCGGGGGCACCTGAGGAGCGGCAGCCTTGTTGCTTCCCGCGGGAGCCGCTTCCAGGACCCTCGGCGTCACCCCGTCGCCTGGCTTGGAGGAAGGAGCCTGCCTGGCAGGGGCTTGGGGTTCGGGACCAGGGGGCGGGGGCAGCAGCCGTCCTCTGGGAGGGGAGGGTCCCCTCCGTGGGCGGCGGGCAGTGGCTGGGGACGAGGCCGGAGCATGCGGAGTCACGGCGATGCTCTCCGCTGCGACCGTCACACGGGGCCTCGCGCAGAGAGAGGCGCCGACGGCCGACTCGGGGAGGTTCTGCTGGTCTCAGCCCCCCCGTCACTTAGGAACCGAAGTGGAGGGAGAGGTGAACCCCGAAAGCTGGCGTGCTGGGTCCTTTGCCGACCCCACCTGTCACCTGAACTTGGGGTGTCAGGAGCATCGACGGGACCTCAGGCGACCCGACGGGCGCACGGGACTGGGTGTCACACGGCGTGTCCTGCGGTCTCGGGGGAGGGGCAGCGTGGGGTGTGCGTCCGTGTGCGCTGACGGGGCGGCGGGGCCGTCAGTGCCGCGTCGGTGCAGCCGAGCAGGAGGCCGCAGGAGGCGGGCGCGCCCTCAGCTTCCCCCCTTTGGGGGCCCAGGCGTCACGTGCGGTGACCCTCTGTCGTGGCAGGCACAGGCCGCCACCGTGCTCCGCAGAGCCCGCGCCCGGATCTGCTGTCGGCGGGTCCCAGGCCGCCGCGACGCCTGTGCGTGGCCGGGCCCGAGTTCCCATCCCCCCCTGACCCCCCCCCCCCCCCGCCTGCCCCCACGGCCCTCCTCACCACGCCGGTGTGCCCGCAGGTGTTCGGGGACGGGCCTGACGCCGTCAAGCAGTCTCTGGAGGGGGTCTTCGACGACACCGCCCCAGACGGCAAGGTGAGTGCTGCAGGTGCACCCACGTGAGCAGTGCCGTGGCCCCTCGGGTCCTAAAGTCGAGCACACTCGGTACCCCCAGCTGAAACGGCCAGATCTGTGAAGCCAGGGAGCAGGCGCACCAGGGGGCCGGGGCACCCCGTGTTTGAGCCCTGGTCGGCACGAGACACGGCGTCTCCAGTGCTGGTCCCCGAGAGCGGGCGTCCCCCCGCCACGCTGTCTCATCCCGGGAACGTCGGAGCGCTGTCCCGGTAGCAGGCTGCGTAGCGGGAGGTGCGCCTGTCTCCCCAGACGCGCGCTCGGTGGAGGCAGCGCCGGCTCAGGTCGTCTTGTGCTCGGGTTTAAGGGGCCCGCGGCCCCCTCCGCTCGGAGGCCCGTAGAAAGTGCTGGTTGTTTCCCGGGCCACCTGTTTGAGCCTCCGAGGTGGACATCTGGGTGTCGGCACCCAGCAGCCTCTCTGTCTGGGGTGCTCTGCGCTGTGCCGAGACCTCGTGCGGCCCTCTGGGCCCCCGACTCTGAGGCAGTGTGGCTGCGCTCAGGGGCGTTCTGACCGGGTGTGAGGCCTGAGGACCCCCCCGACTCCGCTCCTTCCTCGGCACTCCTCTCCTCTCCCCAGGGTCCCCTGGGTCCGTCACGGCTGCCCGCCTCCTTCGCGTGGGGCCCTTTTCTGGGGGCGGGTCATCGCGGTGCCCCCCCCCCGCCCCCCCGGGGGCTGAGGTCGCTGGGCCCCACCCGCGGCTGCCCCACGACTCGGCGTCTCGCCGCAGATGGAGAAGGAGTCGGGCCTGCCCGGCGTCCACCAGCACAACCCTGACGGCGACCTCTGGGTCCACGAGCACTTCGCGCCGTCCTGGTTCTCTCTGCCCAACAGCCAGTCCGCCCTGACGGTCGTCCGGCCGGGGGACACCGCCCGGGACACCCTGGAGCTGATCTGCCAGGTAGGGCTGCTCAGGGCTCCTGTCCTGGTGCAGGCGGTGGGACCGGGGGCTCCTGGGCGGGCACGGTGGTGCCGGGGGCCGGGCGGGGACCCTGGCGCGTCACACAGCTCCGGGCTCCTGGGGGTCAGGACGCAGTGCAGCGGGCTCTCCGCCCCAGGGAGGCCAGGGCTCTTCTGCGTCCAGCACGCGTGTTGCGTGTTTGCTCTGCGAGCAGCTTGTCCGTCCGTCAGTCCGTCCGTCAGGTGGGCCCCGCGGAAGCCCTGGGAAGCGAGAGGCGAGGGGCCCTGCCGGCGGGGGGCTGCTTTCCCGCCGCAGACCTTCAGGCCTTGGCCCTGCGGCGTGTGCGCGCACACGCGTGTGCCACGGCGTCGCACGGGGGCGGGGTTGGCGACCCGCTCCTGGGCGGGCCGTGGGCGTCGTGAGGGGAGCGCCGGAGGGAGCCCGAGCGCGAGGCCCGTGGTGGCGGGGGCCTCTGCCCGGGAGAGCGCACGGGCTCGGCGGTCCGCCGTCTGACCTCACGTCTGACGTCCCTGCTGCTGACCGCGGGCTGCAGACCCTCCTCCGTCTGTCTCTCGGGTGGAGGGGCGCCCGGCTCGCTCTCCGCCCCTGACGGTGCGCAGGGGGCCACCTCGGGCGGGGGTGGGGGGGTGGGGACAGAGGGCGGCTCCACGGGACGGCCCAGCCCACCGGTGGTCCTCGGGCGAGGGCACGAGCACGGCTCCCCACCCCCCCGCCCCGGACCGGATGGGGCCGTGTGGCCCCGGGGGCCTCCTGAGCCTCTTGCCAGAGCGCAGACCCCAGGCGGGTGCGGAGGCGGCACCCCGCCCACCCGCGACCTGGGCGTGCGCATGCGCCCTCTGGGCCAGGAGGACAGCCACCGGACTGCCAGGGAGGCAGTCGCCCCCAGGCCCTGTCGGGGAGGGGGAGGCGCTTTCTGCGGGTGAGGGGCGTTTTGGGGACCCCCTCCTTCAGCACAGCACCTCGTGGGTGCGAGTTTTGTGTCACCTCGGGGTCACCAGGGCCTGTGGGCGGAGCAAGGCCGGCTCCCTCTGTGGGCGGGCCGCTCAGCCTTCTGGGTGGGCTGCGTGAGGGAGGAGAGGGCCGGGCCGGCCCTCGGGGGCGAGAAGCAGCAGCCTGTGGTGCGAGCTCCGTGTCCTTCCTGCCTCGGGTCCTGGCTTCTCGAAGACAGTGGAGTTTTTGCTCTCGTTCGTGCATTTTAAGTGCTGTGCAGAGTCGGTCCCTCGGGGGTTTCTGCACGCGCTCCCTTGTGGGTGAGCTCCCCCCTTCAGGGCGCACCCCGTGGAGTGGTGCGGGTCCGTCCCGAGCGGCGGGGGGGGCGCAGGCTGGGCTGCGCTTTTCCCTCGAGCTGCGAGCGCCTCATAGACCAGCCTCCAGGCAGCGACGGGGGCCCCGGCCTCAGCTGGGAGCAGGGGCCGGGGCGGAGCTCTGCACTGTCGTGACTGGTGGGACCCAGTGACCCCCAACGAAAAGTCGCCGCCCCCAGGATCCGCTGCCCCTGGATCCTCCGCGCCGTCTGCCAGGGTGCGGAAGCGAAGGCAGACGCAGCGTGTGGCGGCCCGAGCTCACGTCCCGTGCGCTCAGGGACGGGAGGCTGCGGCGGCCCCTGTGCGCACCGGTGGTCCCCGGGGAAGCCCGGCCGAGGGGCCGTGAGCAGGAGCGGAGGGCCCTCCCCTGTCCCGTTCGCCTCAGACGGCCACTGAACACTCTCTCTGCGTCGTGTTCTCCTGCTCCACCCACGGAAGGCACCGCGGTGAGACGCGCACTGAAAAACACACCCGCCCCACCGGACGCCGGTCTCCGGGCCCAGTCCACGCCACGGCGCCGGGACGCCACGCAGGCGCCGTCTGAGTGACACCGGCGACGGTGCCCCGAGGACGGCTGTGCGCCGTTCAGACTGCGTTGCTCCCGGGTCGGCACGCCTGGCAGCGGGGAGCGGGCGGCAGCCGGCCAGCCCCGCCTGCTGAGGTCGTCTCTGCGGTTTGGGATCTGCTGCCCCGCCCGGACGCCGACGCCGACTCCTCGCAGACACTCGAGGAGCCGAGGGCCGCCCTCGGGGTTCCGACGCTCGGACCGCGTTGGTTCCGCAGGGCCTTCCGTGGTCACAGCAGCCGTGACCCACGGGGGCTGTAGCAGAGCCACATCTGCCGGAATCGGGGGGACCCAGCAGTGGGAGGACCCGGCGGAGCGGCGCCCCACCTCACGTGTTCGGGGCCCCAGGTCGCGGGGCCGCCCCAGCGTCTGTGTCTGCTGCAGGCCCGCGGCCTGGTTCTCCGCGCTGTGCAGGCGCCCTGTGACCTGAGGGCCTCTGGAGCGTGCGGCGGTCCAGGGCGGCGGGAGGAAGCACCCTCACTGCCGCCGCCGGGTGTGCTCGCCACCCGTGCTCTCCGCACTGTCGCCCACCCTGAGCCCGGCCCTCGGCGGTTCCCGGGCCCCGGGCCCCACTGCATGTGGGCGGTGGGAGGGCCTGAGCTCACTGGCCCCTCGTGGGTGCCGAGGCCCTCTGTTCTCATCAGCACTCCCCACCCCGAGGCCTCGGGGGCAGGCAGGGCCCCTTGAGGAGATGCCGGGGTGTCTGTCCTCCAAGGGCCCGGTTTCATTTCCCTTTTCCTCTCGCCTCCCTCGTAAGCTGGGGGTTTGCCGGGGTTCTCGCTTCCGCTTCAGGGCTTGCCGTGGGAGGGAGGTGTCCCCGCTTGTCTCTCCCCTGCGGGGCGCCCACGTGCAGGTTCTCCTGCCTTGGGCTTCCCCGCCTGCCCCCTGCCCGCCCCCACCGTCCCGACACGGACGGTCTGGCCCGTCAGACGCCGGGCCTCCCTGACCTGCAGTGCGGACAGCGGAGCCCAAAGGCACGGGGGCGCGCTGGCCTCCGACCCCACTCCGCTCGCGGGGCCCACGTCGGGTCCCCAGGGGTGCGTATGGAGAGCGCCCTGCCCTCCCGCTGGGAGCGCCGAAGGGGCCTGCCTCCCCAGTGCAGGGGCCTGTGCGCACGCACCCCCACTCGGCGAGCTGCCGCCCGGGCCGCGGGGCCCTGCGGGCACCCCCGTGCCTCGGTGTCCGCAGCTGCGGTGCCCACGCCGCGTCCGGCACACTTGGGAGGTTTCTCCCTGCCGTTCAGTGACCGTTGCGGAGACAATTATTGGGACATTTTTAGTTTGGCCTTAACAATGTACAGGGGGAGGCGGGGTAAGTAAAAAGAGCATCAAATGGGTGAGAATTGACTCCACTTAGGCTGAAACAGTTGTCCTCAGTGGAGCTTCTGGAGTGAGGACGTGTGTGGGGAGAATTCCGAACGTGGGAGGAAGCAGAGCACAAAGGGAACGAGCCCTCGTGTCCCCCCGCCCGCCCCGGGGCTGCCCGGTCCCCACCCTGTTCTCCCCTCACTCCCACCCGGCTCCGGGGCGCTCTGGGGGCAAACTCCAGGCACCGCGGCTTCATCTGCCGCGTCTTCAGGACGGACCTCCGGAGGACAAGGGCCGAGCGTGTCCCGTCTGTGGTGGGGGGTTACCCTGCGGGCTGGTGTGCCGAGGGGGCCGCACGGCTGTCTGCCGTCCCCGTGCGGCTGGAGCCGGGCCCTGGCTCGGCTGCGCTTCGGCCACTGCTGGGGCGTCCTGGGCATTCTCGCCGCCTGGTTCTCCGGTCGCCGCCGTGGGTTTGGAACGGCGTGGAAGGGCCTATGGGGTCTGTTGGCCTTTGCTGCAGAACCTGAGTTAAAAGCCGAAATGACTCAGGCCGGCGAGGTGAGCCTTGAGGCACCACAGAACGCCAGCCGTGTGTTGGGTGAGAACCGAGCCCAGTGTGGGTTTGGATGTGAGCCTCTTGGAAACCTTACCCTGCCCCTGCCCCCCAAGAAAAACCCCAAACCTGCACCACTCTGGGGAGTCCGAGACGTGTGCTGGTGGACGTGTGCGACCCCCGCTCACTGCTGGACCCCCTTCCCCACCCCGTCCCAGGCACACCAGCTGGACCCCTCGGCTCATTACCTGCGGCTGAACTTCCTGACGGAGCGCGGAGCCCAGCACTACGTGCCCCGGCCGGAGGAGGACCTCTACGAGCTGGTAATGCTGCGCGTGGCTGCTGTGTGCGCGTGGCTGCTGTGTGCGCGTGGCTGCTGTGTGCGTGTGGCTGCTGTGCGTGCGTGTGGCTGCTGTGTGCGTGTGGCTGCTGTGTGCGTGTGGCTGCTGTGTGCGTGTGGCTGCTGTGCGTGTCCGCCGTGCGGGAGTCGGGGCCCGAGCCACACGTGTGCTCGTGCTGAGTGCGGGCGGGGCAGCGGAGAGAGCTCCAACGGCAGCGAGCCTTGGGGAGGGCGGTGGGGTGGGGGCGACCTGGGGTGGTGGGGGTGGCCCTGCGTCCCACGGGCTCCCGCAGAGTGGAACGCCACCTCTGTCTGTGCGAGGTGCGCACCTCGGTGTCCGAGGGAGGGAGGCCCAGAGCCGCCCTGGAGCGCGGTTCCCCGTGGTTCCGTTTTCGCCCGGGGACTCGGTGGAAAGGCAGCACGAGGCCGGCTCCTCGTGAGCCTCTCCCGCCGGTGGGGGCCGAAGTGTCCGGTCCGGCCGAGCGAAGAAGCTGCCGGTGAGGCGCAGGCCCCGCCTCTCGCAGCTCCGAGCTGGAGCCCAGGACGAGGAACAGTGTCTGCGTTTCTCCGGGGGTGGAGAAACTGGGGTCCTCACTGCGCCTGGGCTCTTCGCTGACTCGGCGCCTCCTGGTGGCGTGCTGCTGGCACAACGCGAGGTGGCAACGCCGGTCTCCGAGATCCTGTGAGGAGGGGAGGTCAGGGCTCACACCGCGGAGGCTCGGTACCTGGCTGCTGTGGTGTAACGGAGGGACACGCTCTTCTTGCCTGCTGACCCAGGGGCGCATGTGCAGCCCCCGGAGAGGGGCGGGAGGGAGCCAGTGTGGCCTGGAGGGGGCGCTGCCGGCTCTGGGCTCCCGAGGCCCCCCCTCCCAAGCTGCCCCAGGGCGTGGGCGTGGGCTGGGGTGTGGTCGTGGGCGTGGCCACAGTGCCCCTGCAGCAGCAGCAGCCTGTCCCTGCAGAAAGCAGAACTGAAAGCTTGGACCCAGGGAACCGCCTTTGGGAAGGGGAAGTGTGTGGTTTGAATTTAGTAGGAATTCTGTTTTCAATCAACCTTTTTTTTTTTTTTAAAGATTTTATTTAGTTTTAGTTGGGGGAAGGGTGAGAGAAAGGAGAGAAGCACCAATGGGTGGTTGCTTCTTGCATGCCCCCTACTGGGGACCTGGCCCGCAACCCAGGCATGGGCCCTGACTGGGAATCGAACTGGGCACACCTTGGTTCACAGGCCGGCACTCAGTCCACTGAGCCACACCAGCCAGGGCTCAATCAACTCCTTCCAGTTGTACTTACTGTACAAGAACACTCACCAATTTTAAGCACACAACTGATGAGTTCTGACAAATCAGTACAGCTATGATTTAGAAAGTTTCTGTTCTCCTAAAAGGTTTCCTCCTGTCCCTTAACGTGCTTTCACCGAAATGCGTGGAAGGGTGGGTTTCTGCGTTGCTCCCACGATGCCTTGCCTGCACGATCACCACGATGAGCCCGCCTCCGGCCCCCGGGGAAGCCCCGGCCAGCACCTGCTCTCGGAGTGGGGAGCCCTTTCTCCTGTGCCAGCAGTGCCGTGCTGGTCGGGCTGGGGGAGCTCCTGGCGCCGCCTCGGCGTGCCGGGGTTAGCGCGCCCCTGCCCGGAAGGACGGGGGTCCCCACCACGCCGCTTCCAGGTCCTCCCCGTGCAGCCCGCCCGCCATGGGCGCTCGGTGCGACTCCTGTGGGAGCCGTGTCGCTCACATTGTCCTTGGGGGTCAGCTGTCTCGCGGCCTCGGCCACTGCCGGGGACGGTTCGTGCCTGCAGTCCTGTGGACGTGTCATAGGTGCACTTTCTGAAAAGAATCTATGACATGGGGACCACGGCGTCCCTTCTCAACTGCTGCAGACGGCCCCCAGCGCAGCCGTCCCTGAGGGAGCACACACCCGCTCTGGTGGCCCCCGGGATGAGTGGTGGTCTGCCCCTCGCGCCCCGGCTGCGCCCTGTCCTTAGCTCCGGGGTTCTGAGGGCGGAGCCTCCAGGCCCACCCCCGAGGGCGTGTTCAGCTGACCTAGGGCGAGGTGCCTGGGTCGACCTGCGTGGTCTACACTTTTAACACGATGACAGCACAGGCGCTCACCGGTCACCTCGGTGAGTAACTCGGCCCAGCGGCGGGTCCGCCAGCTGCCGCTGAGTGGGCAGAGCCGCAGCCCGGGCTGGTGGAGCAGCCGAGGTTCCGTCCGCGACCGGATCCGGGGGGTGCGGCTGCCGCTGTGAGTGTTGCCCGAGGTGCTTTGTGGCTGCCGCAGATGCTGCGCTCCGCCTGTGGGTGGCGCTGCTGCTATTCCCCGTGCGGCTGCCTGCCCCGCGGGTTCCATCCGTGGGTGCCCGGCCTCATGCGCTGCCTGCGTGAGGGCGTCCGCTGGGGGTCACGTCCTTCTGCCGCGGGCGTTCTGAGCCTGCAGCGTCCCGGGGGCCGTTGGGGAGCGCGCCCACTCGGCCTGGGGCTCCTGACTGGGCGAGCGCCAGTCCCCACACGGCCCCGTGGGGTCCACGCTGACCGCTGGCCAGTGCTGGACAGACGAGGGTGGCCGCGGCGTTTGAGGTCACGTCCTCCAGCGGGACCCGTCTGTTGATGGCTGTCCCCGAGTCCTCTGTGTCCTACGACGTGTGGTGTGTGGGATGAGCTGGCCGTGGGCCGGTCCGTGAGCGGTGGTGGGGTGTGGAGACACGGGCGTTCCTCGGGGCCACGTCACGCGTGTTCCCCAGGCCAGGGCAGCGGAGGGAAGGGTCTGCGGAGACAGGACGGGCGGTCTGTGCATCCGTGCAGCCGGTGTGGGCTCCGCGTGTGCTGTGTGTCCGCGTGTGCTGCGTGCCCGGCACGGCCACAGCTGCTGTGGGCGCTGGGGCGTGCCCAGGGGGTCTGCCCCTCCGGAGAGCGGCGTGCAAGTTCGCGGGGACGGAGCAGGTGCTCTGTGCTCAGACCTGGTGACGTCCGAACGGAGGTGAGTGAGCCGCAGGGGTGGTGTTGGGGGGAGGTCTGGGGGGGGTCTGTGGGCGCGGCCTGGAGCTCTGGGGGTGCAGGGGGTGAGGGGGCGGGGCGTGGGCCCAACCACAGAGGGTCTCGGTGAGCAAGGGGAGTCTCGGGTGAGGAGGGTGTCACTCGCTTCAGCTTCCGTCGCTCGAGGTGCCGGCGTGTGGCCCTCAGGCTGAAGGGCAGGAGGCCGGTGAGCTGCGGCTCAGGCCGTGGGGAGCGTTGGGTCTGGCCGAGGCCCCCAAGGGAGATGTGGCGGGAAGAGGTCGGGAAGAGGTCAGGGTTGTGTACAACTCGAGACTGAGTGATCAGTTACTCCTTCCGATCTGACGATCTTTTAATCCGGCTTTTGAAAAGAGGGAAAACGCGCCACCTTGGCTGATCGGATGGAACGCAGGGGGTGAGGGGGTGAGGGAGCCTTCTCCGCCGTCACGGGTGCGCGCGTGCGCATAGAAACTCGAGTTCCAGTGTCTCTAGTCCGGACGCAGCGGGCACGTGGGGCGTGCGCTGTGATGCACAGGCCCTTCTGGAGATCTCAGGTGTTCTGGGGTGCTTTTGTCAGACTGAACTTCAGCCTAAGGGGGTACCGTGGCTCAGGGGCCTGGGCAGTGCTCTGAACTGCGCGTCCGAGATGGGGGAAGACGCCCGAGGGCTCCCCCCCCCCCCGCTGCAGAGCGGGGGTGCGCTGTGGACGGACCGGGAGGTTGTTCACGGGGCTGTGCCCACCGCTCCTCGCAGAACCCGGGGACGGCCCGGAGGCTCCGGGGCCGAGCGGGGACGTGCTGCCCCCTAGTGGGGAGAGCGGCCCGGGGACGCCGGGAAACGTGGGTCTGGCCCAGAGCAGCTGCGCACACACACCGCGCGAGGTCGCTTGCTCGTCGAGAGCTTGAATCTGTGTGGTGGTCGTGACCTCGGTGACCGTGTGTCCTGAACTGAAGGTCAGTGTCATGGCTGATCTCTTCAGCTGCAGAACTGTTTTGTGTGCGCAGTGCTTCCAAGGTGTGACAGTGAGGCCCCGTGAGTCCCGCCCTCACGCAGCGCGCTGCCGTGGAGGGGCCGCGTCCTGTCCCGGTCGAGGTTGCGGCGGCGTGGCCGTGCGGGGAGGACCGGCCGGCCGGGGCCTCCGGTCCCTGCCTCCCCACTTCCCGGGCTCCCGTCCCGGCTGCTCTTCGCCTTCTGAACCCTCGTGGCCGCGGTGGTCACCTCGACCGCCTGCGGGGTGCCCTGGAAGAGCGGCAGGAAAGCCGGCGCCCTTTCCCGCCTGCCTGCCGGGAGGCGGCACTGACAGAAGGGCTGCGCTTTCGGGGACCGGAGACCCGGACTGCGCGCTGCCGGGCCGAGCGGCAGCCCCTGAGCTCCTGACGGCTCCGACACCTTCGCTCGGTTTGGGACTTCGGTCGTCGGTGTTGGGAGTGGCCCTCGGCTGTCCCATCTCGGTGGGAGGGGTAGGGAGGGCTCAGACCCGGGCCCACCCTCCTGGCTGCACAGGCTCGGGGAGAAAGTGCCTCCCCTGCCGCCGCCTTCTCTGCAGCTGTAATGGGGTCGCCGGTGACTTAGGGGCCCCGTCCCAAGTTACTGTCCATGGTGGTGACGGTTCCGGTGTGCGAAGAGGAGGCGCCAGGGACATTCCCTGACACGAGCTTCCTGCTCCGTGAGCCCGGGCCTCCCAGGGCTCCTGGAGGGTCGGGTCGGTCCGGGGGTGCACTCGGGGCTCCTGGGTGAGGCTGGTGCGGCCCCGTGGCTGTGGGAGAACGTCCCCTGTCCCCGTCCCCGTCTCTGACTGCTGTCCGTCTGTCTCCTGCCGTGCGTTGTCTGGGCCTCTGGGCCCTGCCGCGCACTCGGGGCGGACCGTGTGTGGGCAGAGCGGAGCGGAAGCCCCGAGACCGTCCCGTTTCCGTGGGTCCCACGTCAGGGTCCCGTGACCTCTCCCTGACCTCTTGGATGTTGGTTGGATTCACTCATTTTTATTGAGGTGACTTGCGTAACGACGTGGCGTGTCAGGTGCCCAACGTTAGGATTCAACGGCTTTATACACCAGAGCGAGCTCACCACCCAAGTCTAATTTCCACCCAGCCTCTTCCTGGTGTTTTCCCTTCAGACCCTCACCCGAGGGTGTTGCACTGGTCTGAGAGGGAAGGTGGGGTGGGGGGAGAGGGAAACATTGGTTGGTTGCCCCTTGTGCACGGCCCGAGCCCGGAGGGACCCCGTAGCTTTTTGGTGTGCAGGCTGGCGCTCCCGCCAGCTGGCCCCCGGGCAGGGCCTCCTCGGACTTGGACTCGAGTCACCTTCTCCGGCCCAGGGGCCTTGGGGTGGCTGCCGGCTGAGCAGAGACACCTGGAGCGACACAGGGTTGCGTCGAGGAGCTATTCAGAGACCGGGACCGTGGCTCCATTCGGGGCATGACGCGAGGGTTCAGGAAACACCCTGGGGTGTGACGGAAACCTGCCTGGGAGCACGGATGGTGAAAAACAGATTTACAAAACGATGACTGTTTCTAACGTGTCTCAATGGGGTCCTGATTAGATTCTTCTTTGTGATTTCCAGCTGTACAAAGAAATTGAAATTTGTCCGAAAGTCACTCAGAACATCCAGATGGAGAAGTCGGACGCGGCTGGTGACAACTACGGTACGTGTGTTTCTCTCTGGTCTTCGGCGTCTGCCGGGTCAGAGTAGGGCTTGTGCAAACACGCGCTCACGTCCAGGCTGTCGGTGTGCCCGGGGCCCTGCTGCCCCGAGCCCGGGCGGTTCCCGGTCCCAGCGCCGGGTCGGACGGGGCGGTGCGTGCTGCGGGCAGCGCCGACTCATGGAAGTCTGACTGCTGACCGAGGGCTGCCCGCCCCTTCCCCGCGCTTGCAGAAGGGTCACGTTTTAGGGAGAAAGCGCCTGGATTTGGATGAGTTCTGTCCATTCTTGTCCTGGACGTAGCTCTTGGCTCCGCACCTGTCCCAACAGCCGAGAGGAAGAACCGTTCTCTGTGGAGATGCAGATGCACGCCCTGCGCTAAGCCCAGCTCGTGTGTGACCTTGTTTTCACGGGCGTGGGGGCCCCCTGAAAAGTCGCCCGAGGGGCACAGCCACCCCAGGAGCGGGGTGCACAGCGAGCCACTGAGGCGGGGACTCAGACCGGCACTGCCTGTGCTCCCTGCGTCCGTCAGTCCGGGAGCTCCGGCCGGCGTGGGCGTGGGTGGTGGCGGTTGGGCCTGTGTGTGGGGACCTGTTCCCCGGGCCCGTGAACGGAACAGAAAGCAGACGCTCATCACGACGCAGTCCGCCATGAGCCGTCCGGGTTTCCTCCTCTGTGTGCGTCTGGCAGCCGCACCGCCGCGTTCCCTCCGCCGCCAGCCTCGAGACACGTCGGCCTCACGGGGCCGCTTCCTCCCGGAGCTGCTCCGCGTCGCGCCTCACAGCCGCGTTTGTTCCCCATGCCCTTCACGGTGCCCGCCGCGGTATCCCGCCCCGGGGGCCAGGCTGGGGTCGTCCCCTGGTCGGTCAGGGGAGACGTCCCGTGAGACCTGCGCAGGGACAGGGCGACCGGGCCTGTGGCCAGAGGACTGGGAGTGCTGAGGCACCCAGACCCCCAAGCCCCTTGCCGTCTGGGGGCCTGTTTGCCCTGGTTTTGGAGGGCGTGGCAGGGCCCAGGAGTCTTCAGCGGGCGGGCTCTGCGCCCTGGGAACCAGGGCGAGGGCGAGATGACCAGACACTCGTGGAGGGTGGAGTCGCTGGGCCTCACCGCGGGCTTGGACTCGAGGCAGCGGTTGCTCAGCCTGTCCGTGGGGTTCTTGTGCTCGAATCAGCACCAGCATGGCTGCACGCAGGGACCGACACGCACACACGCCCTGGGACAGGGGTTCGCCGCACAGACAGACCGAGGGGCCCGAGGGGGCCGCACGGTGGCGGTTACCGGCAAGCCGGGTAAACGAGACAGCCGTGTCCCACCGGTGCTGCTGGGCGCTGAGAGGACGGTGCACGGGGTGGCGGTGACTTCCCTTAGAGGGACCTGAAGACCCTCCCCTCCGCCTCGGGGAGCTGAGTGAGCAGCAGGGGGAAGGGTGCCCTGAGCCCCGCCTCCCGCACCAGCAGCGCTGCCGCCAGCTCAGGCTCAGAGCGTGATGTGCCCTCTGTCCCTTGTCCCCAGGGTTTTTTCTGTCCTCCGAGGATGAAGACGGCGTTTGGAGGTGCTACGTGGACAGCGTGAAGGACACTGGGCTCGCGTCCAAGAGAGGTGAGTCGTCGTGTGCCCTGTCTGTCTGTCCGTCTGTCTGAAATTGCCTCGAGTGTCCCCTCGGTGGGCGGGGAGGACGGGCCCAGGTGCTTGGGACGGCCGTGTGCATGCTGTCTCGTCAGGGACCTGAGGACTTCGGGCTTGTGTGCAGTCAGGCGTGTAAGAAATGCCACACTCCTGGGTTTCAAATCGGACTCCGGTGGGGCACTCACGCTCGCCGGAAGTGGCCGTCCTTCCCCACCGCCCGGGACAGGCTGGGGGTCCTGGCTCACCCTGCGCAGGACTTGGGAAGCCCCCGTGCTCCGGCCCCCGTCGGGCGAGGCCACGCTGCCACCGCTGAGCCCAGAGCCCACGGACGGGACCCTCAGAGCAGGGCTGCGCTGCCGTCCCTGGGGTGGACATGGGGACAGGAGAGTGGGGGCCGAGGCCCGGCCACGTTCTGGGGCAGAGCCGGATGCATGTGCGGCTGCCGTCCAGCCCAGCACAGCCCCGGGAGCGTCCTGGCCCACGCGGCCGCTGGACTCCCTGCTCCTCCGCTGCGTCCACGGTCACCTGCTGCACAGCAGCCTCGCTCCCAGCAGCACGTCCTGGCGCCCAGGTCTGGACGGGCCCCCGCCCGCCACAGCGCGGAGCACGGGCCGGCCGTCACCCTGGGATGGCCGGGGCAGAGGCCCGAGGTGACCAGGAGGGGTGTGGCGGGGTTGGGGGGTGGAGTGCAGCGCGTACCCCCAGGCACTGTGTCGGTGCTGATGCCCCTGCTGTGGTTTTCCGTTACCTGTCTCTGGGGGCCCCCGGGGGCTTTCAGTCTGGGCTGCGTGGGGCTGATGGTTCCTTCCTTCCGGTCTTCCTGCCCCTCCCAGCCCTGCTCGCGTCTGGGTCTGCCCTTGGCTGCGCCCACACCGATGGTGGTCACCCCAGAGGGCGTGTTGTACATGCATCTCTGGTGCCCCTGGGCATGGTGGTCTCAGCCCCTTCTCCAGCTCAGCCAGTGGGGTCCCTATGGAAGGAGCCCGTTCCTGTCTCTGCCACCAGGTGTCAGCAGTGAGCCGATGCTCCCTGAGTTCTTGCCCAGAGTCTCACACACATGGCTTGTTTGACTGACTCTCATTTAACCCCTGAACCCTCCCACTTATGAGGACTCTGGGTCTGGGAGAGAGCCTGTGACATGCTCACGGTCACAGGGCTGCCGCGTGGTGACAGTGTGACAGAGGCCCCGGCGAGGCTCGCCCTTGCTCACCCCTGCCGGGCCGTCTCTCTCTCCCCGCAAGCCCCTGCTTTCGCCTCCATGACCGATTTACAGACGGGGGCTACGAGCCACCGAAGCTGACCTCTCCTGGTCCTGGCGGCCAGACCTCGGAGCTCCAGGCCTCGGAGGCTCGGGGGATCCTCCCCGCCTCTGCCAGCCGCTGGGGGCTCCCGGTGGCCCAGGCCCGTGGCTGCAGCACTCGTCTCTGCCTCCCGTCCGCACGGCTGCTCCTCTGTGTGTCTCTTCTGCATCTCAGACAAGGGCCCTCTCGATGCTGTAAGCTTGAGGGCCCGTCAGACCCCCGGCACGACCCTATCTCGAGGCCCCCGATGTCGCTGCAGTGGCGAGGGTCCGCTTCCAAATGAGGTCCCGCTCTCGGGTTCGGGGACACGCGTGTCTTCTCGGGGCCGCCGTTCAGCCCCATGCACCTGCGCCGCCGTCACGGCGGGCCTGGCCCTTCGTAGACACAAACCTCACGGGCGCTTTGGGATTCGAAGGCTCTCTCCGTTGCTCCCGACGTTGCTGCCTCTGGTGTCGAACCAAAAGGGTTGTCTCCAAGAGAAGCCTTAAAAAAATTAAGTGACCTTTTCATATACAGAGGTTTTGTGTTTTCAGTTCAAATCTTTTACTTAGAAATGGACTGGTTGGTGTCTCAGAATTCCACCCCTGGTATGAGAAAAACGTTCTTTCTTTTCCGTCGCACCCCCCCCCCCCGGCCCCCTATTTTTTGGAGTGATTTATGGTAGAGAGTCGCAGACCTGGGCCCAGATGGCCAGGGTGTGACTCGGGCTGTTGGAGGTGAGCCCTCGCCTGGGCGGCTGCTGTTCTGCGCAACCAGAGGCGGGGCTCGGCACACCCGAGGGCCTGGCCAACTTGTGTGTCTGCAGTCCACCACCTGTCTCCGCCTCCACTTCCCGCCCCAGGGAAGTTTGCCAGTGGGTCTGTAAAGCAACAACCAGACTCCTCTCTTCTGAGCCGCCAGGACACCGGCATCTTCTCCCCTGACCTCTCCCTTTCTCCTACTTCCGGAATGTCCTCCTGCTGTCGGATGGAACCACTCCGGGGTGGGCTGCAGCTTCTTGCTCTCCGAGGCTGGGCTGCTCCCTGGGTCCCAATGTGGGTGGCTCTCCCAGCCTGCTTTGCATAAGCCACAGAAGCTTCGGGGACTTTCCCCAAGATACTCCAAGTCCTGACGCAGTTTCAGAAAGTTGGGGGAGTGTAGAAAGTGATCAGAGCCGGTTCTGGAAGCTGCCGTCTTCATGTGGAGCAGGGCGCCTTCTTTTGTGGGGAAGCAGGCTCCTGGGCCTTCCACAGAGGAGCCGGGAGGCGACAGCTGAGCCACACGCGTGTGTGTGTGTGTGGGCAGCACGTCTGCAGGGTGGCTAGAGAGCTTTTCTCCCTTTCCCCCTCAAAACGTTAGGGTCACCGCCCGAGTTGGCGAGGAGACATCGGCAGGTGCTGGGAGCCCACACACCCATGGTGGAGCGAGCCAGCTCCGCTGGGGCGTTCAGGATAGGGGCGCAGCCGCCCCCGGACCCTCCTGCACCCGGGGCCCCAGGGCTCCCACTGGCCACGCGCGGGCACACGCCTGTGTGTGGGAGCGCCCAGCCTGCGGCAGAGGGCGGGGGGCGCCCTGCGAGGCGGCGCTCTGAGGGGAAGCCGTCCCTGCGCTGACTCTTTGTGAAACTGAGTGTTTTCTGCTCCGCTGCAGGCCTGAAGGCGGGAGATGAGATTCTCGAGATCAATAATCACGCAGTTGGCACCCTGAGCTCCTCAGCGCTCAGAGACTTCCTCTTGCAGCCCAGCCTGAGCCTCCTGGTGAGGACGCGCCCCACGCTGGAGAGGGGCGCCCTGCTGCTGGAGAGCCCGCCGCACCGCGCCGACGGCCCCGTCGACCCCAGCCAGAGCCCCCTCGCCTTCCTCGCCGGCAGCCCAGGTAAGGCTGGGACGGGTGCCTGGGGCAGGGGCCCTGGTGCTGGGGGACTGTGTCACACCCTGCTGCCGGTGGTCATTCTGGAGGAGGACGCTTGGGCACACCCGCCATCTCGGGGCCGTGGGTAGAGAGAGGGGCACAGAAGTGCCGGGATTCTGGGAGGGGCTCTGAGTCCTGCGCCTGCGGAGCATGTGGCCGTCCCCTGTGTGTGGGTGGCAGAGGACAGGAGACACCCAGAGTGGACAGCACTCAGAGCCCTGGCCTCCCTGCCCTTCTGGCAGCCTGGCACTCAGGCCGAAGGAAGCAGCTTGAGTGCCCCCTGCCCCTGCAGCCTCCCTGGGACCCATGGGGGGGGCGCCCTTCTCTGGATCCCCGGAGGGCGGGGGGGGCCTGAGCAGCCCAGGCCCAGAGCTGGGGATCCCTCCGTGGGTTGGGGTTTTGAATTCATCTTCTTTGAAAAACTCGGGTTAAAGAAAAAGAGCTCTCCATTTCAAAATGCAACTGCAGGCCACACTGGCAGGACATGAGCACTCGGCGTTTTGTCGGGAGCTCTGTGGAGGCCCCCGGACTGCATCCGCACCTGTCCCTGCTGACGCCCTGGAGGGCCCCGGCAGATCCCGGGAGCGGCCCTGTGCCTTCAACGGCAGGGCGGGGCCGGGAGGCTGTTCTGCTCTGTGGCCACTAGGTGGCGGGCGGCGGCTCGGCCGGAACCGGCTCCTGCAGGTGTGTGTCTCTGTGGCCGGACTGGGAAGGACTTTGCAGTCGGATTTGGGGAGTTATGGTTTTATGACACCCGGTGTGCGTGCTGCTCACGGGGGGTTTTAAGCACCTCTGAGCCCTTCCTGGGGCCGGGGGTGTAAAGCGAGGTCAGTAGTGGCCTGTCTTCTCGGAAATGCGGGGCCCCGGGAGCACAGTCCCCCCGGCGGGGGCAGCGCAGACGCCAGGGCGGGGACCCAGGGCCCCGCAGACCCGGGCCGCCGGCTGGCACTGATCGGCCGGCTGCCGGCCCCTTTGAAGGTGGTCAAAGGGGCCGGCAGTTAGTGTGCCTTGTCTTCAAAAACGCCCCATGGGGCATCAGACCTTTTAGTTTCTTAAGGTTTTATTTATTTTTAGAGAGGAGAAGGGGGGGAGAGAGGGAGAGAAACATCAATGTATGGTCACCTCTCACGTGCCCCCTCTGGGGCCCTGGCTGCAACCCAGGCACATGCCCTGAGTGGGAATCAAACTGGCGACCCTTTGGTTCACAGGCTGGCCTTCAACCCACTGAGCCACACCAGCCAGGACTAAACCCTATGAAATTAAAAACATATTTCTGTATAGGTAGTTGTTCCAGAATACAAGTGTGTATACGTGTCCACCTTTTCTATGTGCTGGAGTCTTAAAGTTGCCCTCTGACGTCCCCATCCTCCACATGTGCCGCGGGAGGCTGCAGGCCAAGTCCCCGGCGGTGCTGCCGCATCAGCCGTGGCAGCCCCACTCACTGCTTGGTTTTCTTCCGGTCGAGTGGCCCTGCCTGGCCGTCGGGTGCTCGCTCTGCGCCTGGCGCTGTGTCAGACGGTGGAGGTCACGGTGATGGCCAGGCTGCGGGGATGTCCCCTGTCTGCGTTGCAGTTGTGGCTCTCTGGTGTGCGGCCACTTCGGCCTCCGGCGTCCGGCAGCGCCCACAGACCCGCCAGCACAGGGCCTGCCCGGGGAGACGGGGCCCCACGCTGCTCCGAGAGTCAAGCAGCGGAGCAGGGTCCCAGTGTGGCTTTCTGGTGCGGTTGCTCCGTTGGCCTCACCATGAATCAGTTCCGGAAGAATCTCAAATGCTCAGCACTGCTGCGGGCGGCGCCGGCTGCTGAGAGCAGGCCCCCTGGGTCTCCTCTGCTTTCCGGTCTCGGCCACTTCCTGGTCCCCATTTGAGGAGCGAGATGAAAGGGCAAGCGCACAAACAGGATGCAGCCGCTGGAGAGGGCAGGGCAGGCGCAGGGGCGGCAGGGATGCTGTAGCCCGGAGGGAGTGGGAGGGGCGGGCCTCAGTGTCCGTGCGTGCGGGAGCCGCTAGGACTGCAAGGCCTCTCAGGTGCCTGCTCTGGGGCTTGCTGCTGGGACCACCTGTTTTCTTTAAACCCTCACCTGAGCATATGTCTTTACTGATTTGAGGGAGGAAGACAGAGCGAGAGGGGTGAAGGGGAAGAGAGGGAAACACCCATGGGTTTTATGTGTCCCGGCCGGAGATCAAACCCGCCACCTTCTGGTGCACGGGATGACACTCTAACCCCCCGAGCACCTGGCTGAGGTGGTGCAGGGAGCACCCCCAGGTGGCTGCAGTGGGTGTTCGGCCCACTAGTGGAGGGCCTGCCGCGTGTCAGGGACACTGGGGAGCTGGGAGCCCCGGCCGGGTTCCCTCTGTGGGGGACTGCCCTGCAGCCGGCCCGCCTCACGGGGCGGAGTCGGGGTGGAGTGCGCGGGCTCTGTCAGTCCTGCCCCAAGAGCCCTGGGTGGACTGTGCTTGCCGGGCCCTCCTGGGGGACGGCGCAGCTCGGTGGGTCAGGGTGGGCTCCGGGACCTCCGGCACCCAGTCCCGGCTGCCACAGGGAACATCGGCACCCGGGTGCCAGGCTGCAGCCCGAGCAGGGTTTTAGAAGGAGGAATCCCGGCACAGACACCCTTCCCTGGCACGGAGCTTCTTCCCCTTCTGAGAGAAGGGCCGAGAACGGCAGAGTGCTCTGTCTGAACCCCGGTTCTGCGCCCCGAGTAGTGGCGGCGTCCTGGCGGGGCGTGTGCATCGCTGAGGTGAACCCTCGGACCAGGGAACTTGGGCCTGCAGCCCTCCAGCAGCCCACGCGAGGGCGAGCTTGTCCCACCCCAGCTCCAGGGCCCCGCGCGGCCTCGTGTTTCAAGCCTGGCCAGCGGCACCCCCGCCCGGCCGACCTCTGTGGGGACGGGGCGGCGGCACTGCCTCTGGACTCTGCCGACCGGGCAGCAGGGCAGGCTCCCCGCTGGAGCCCCGTGTCTGCTCCCCAGAGTGCCAGCCGAGTGCCCGCCCTGCTGGGCCACGGGGGGCACCCAGCGCTGTCTGACCCCGGCCTGTGTGTTACAGCCGGCGGCCCGGTGACTCGGCCCTCAGATAGCCCGGCCACACCTGTCTCGATGCCCAGTGGGCTGCAGCCTGAGACGGGAGCGGGCGTCCGCACTGCGGGAAGGGCCTTGAGCAGAGACCGCGGGATAGGAAGGCCCCCGTGCGCCCTGAGTGGAGGCCCCCGGCAGAGTGGGCCCCATGAACCATCAGACCGGTCCCCTTCGGGGGTGTTGGCAGTGCCTGCTGTCCCCGGGCGCCACGCCCCTCCTCGCAGTGTGAGTCCCAGGGGCTGACGTGTGCCCCACCCCTCGTCTCACTGTCTGTCCCCCGTCTCACCATCTGTCCCTTGTGCCTGCTGCAGAGGGGTTCTCAGTCACAAGAACATCTGTCACAATGCAAAGTCCTTCGTAAAAGCAGAAATGCGGCCACACTTGCTCCTGGAGTCAGCGTTCTGTGCAGCTGTGTGGCGGTGGCCCTCGGGTCCCATGGGTCCCATGAGACCGGCTGCTCCAGGGCTGCCTTTCCTGCTTGTCTGGCCTCGTCCCCTGCCCTTGCTCCCTGCTGCCCCGGTTCCTCTTCCTCTGCCCCAGGCGGCCCGGCCCCTGTCCCATCTCAGCCTTGCCCTCGGTTGCCTGGTCTGAGCTCTGACTGCTGGGAGGGCCGTCTGGCTGCTCGAGTGCCGGTGTTCCGCAGGCGCCAGCATCCGAGGGCCGAGGACATTCTTGCAGTGTCTGTCGCTGGAGGCCAGTCTCCTGTCGGGAAGGATGCTTGGGGGAGGGGTCACCCCCAAAACCCGAGCAGCTGGGTGCTCCCTGAGGGCTGTGGCAGGTCCTGCTCCCTGAACCTCCTATTCCCGCCTGGCTGCGTCCCCTTCTTTGCTGGCTGCAGGTGGCTCTCCAGGTCCCGTCCCTGCCCCTGCTGTGTGGCCAGCCCCACTACCCCCACCCCTTCCTGCACTCACCGTGGTTCCTCTGGGCCCAGGGGGCGGGGTTGCCCTACTGTCCTTGCCTGGGGTCTCTCATATTGCTGTGACAGGTGGGCTGCCTGGGCTGGTGACGGTGGCCGCATGGAGCGGCTGGTCCCCTGTCCTTGAGGTCTCACATGTGAGCTTGGGGCTCTTTGCGGTGGGCTCAGGGCTCCTGGGGCTGGACCGGAAACTGCAGGGTGGCCTGGGGCCTGAGCTCAGACTTCACACATCTCCCCTTGTGTCCCGCTGGCCAGAGCGGGGCCTGGGCCGCGTGGGGGAGAGCTCAGGGTCTGGGGCGGGGCCCTGTCATCTAGTGGACACCCCTCTCCTCCCCCTGCCCACATCCACGGCTGGCCCTCTCTCTCCCATCTGGGCAACTTCCACCCCCAGTGGCAGCGTGATGGGGCAAAGGCCTGGGCGCTTGGGGACAAGAGCCTGCGAGTCCCAGGAGCCCCCCATGTCCTGTGACGTTTTGCCGCTCCGATGTGCGGGCGGTGACTTCTCTGCCTGGAGTGTGTTTCCCTCCATCCCTGCAGCCTTTCGACCAAGGAAAGGCTCCATTTCGGGGACACTCACCCTCCGCCCCCACGTGGCCTGGGCTCCTCGTGTCTCCGGCCGTGCTGTCCCAGGCAGCAGGCACTGGTGTCTGCGGCTTCCTCCGAGAGAGGCGCCTCAGGGCTTGGCCAGCGGTGCCGGGGTCCAGTTTCATGTCCCTGTTTGTCAGGCGGCCCAGGTGGAACGCCCGCCTGCCGGCCCCTGAGAGTGGTGGGAGGCCCCGCCCAGCCTGGTTCTGTCCCCACCCCCGTCTGCGGTGTCTCTGGGCAGCTTCAGAGCCCGCAGCAGGGCACCCGGGCTTGCTCCTGCATCTGTACGGCCGGCCCGGGGGTCTGGGCCTTCTGCTCTTGCGTGAATTTAGTTCCGGCAGCAGTGCTGCCGCCTGCTTGCCTCTCTCTCTCCCGCTGGTGACAGCACCCTAGGCCAGGGAATCCTGGGTCCACCTGGCTGGAGGCCAGTGTCGGCCCGTGGACGCGTGGTGCCGTCAGGGCCTTGGGGAACGTGCAAGAGAGGTGGGGGGTCGGGTCCGACCCCACGGACCGAATCTGCGTGTGCGGACCCCCGGGGTCAGATGCTCCTCAGCCCCGGGAAGCCCCGCAGGGCCAAGTGATGCTGCCTCCTCCCGTGTGCGGGCGCGAGATCTCGGGCAGGCGGTGCTCCCCCGTCCCCGCTCGGCCAGGCTCGGCAGGTGCAGGCCCCGGAGCTGCTGCCCGGGTGCTTTCGGGCCTGGGTCCCCCTCCAGCACGGCAGGTCGGGGTTTCCAGGGCTAGCGCTACGCTACTTCACAGCATAACAAGGGTAGTAGTGGCAGTGAGTAGACGTAGTGACAACTGACCTTGAGCCAAGACGCTGAGGTCCAGCTCAGAGGGCGTGACAGTGCAGGGGCAGCCCACGGGTGAGCTCCCGCCCCGCCCCCGGCGGGCTGGGGGCCGTCGCTGCCGCCCTGCACTCCCGCTCACTCCCGCTCCCCTCCCGCAGGGCACGGCCTGTGCGGCAGGCAGGGCGGCAGCGCCGAGGCAGCGGCCAAGGAGACGGAGGGGCCCGACGCCGAGTCCTCCGACGACGCGGACCACAGCGGCAAGGTGAGCAGTTTCCGTTTCTGCCCCCGAGACTCGGCCTCGTTGCCGCACGCGCGGTCCGAGCCCCCACGGCCCCAGCGTTTTGCTTCTAAATGTCGCCGAGCCAGGTGGGAAGTCCGCGTGGCAGCCTGGCTCACAGAGGCACAGGTGGGAGGGGGTCCTGTCCCCGAGGGGACCCCACGTCCCTCTGCCGCCCGCGGGTGGTGACACGGCCTCTCAGCCACTCGGTGGGCCTGTGTCTCTGAGGGGTCTGCAGTGCGGGCCCTGGTTCCTGGGGACAGTGTGAGTCTTCACGGGGGAGGGGAGAGTTTCTGTGGCTCAGCTGCGAGAACGCACCCCCCCCCCCCCCCCAGCTTTCCGGCCGCGGCTTCCTTTCCCCAGTTCCTTGTGCCCTTATCCGGGTCCCAGGGAGTGTGGTGGCGGCCTCCTCTTACCCCGCCTCCAGGGTGCAGTCCCCACCCCGGGTCCCTGTGCCCGAAGACCCCTCCCCAGCCAGAGCGGCGTGTGCGGCTCCGGCGCTGCGTGCACTCGCCTCTCCTCTGCGGCAGTGTTGGCAGGTTGGCGCCACCGCCCTGCCCGTCTCCGCTCTTCCCTTCCGCACTGGGGTGGTTCTTGCCCGCGCCCCGTCTTCCGAGGGGCAGCGGGTGGGGTGACGCCCAGGATGGAGGCACGGCGCCCAGACGTGAACCGTCGGTTCAGAGCCTGCGCGTCTGCGCGGGGCCCTCCTGTCTCTCCGTGCGTCCCGCCGGACTCTCCCGAGTGTGGGGCTGTGCGCGCGACCCCTGGCCCGGGCTCCTCCTCCTCAGGGCCCCTCCCACGCGAGCACAGCAGGCGGCGGGCCTGGAAGGAGTGCGAGCCGCGTGGCGCGAAGTGCTGGCGAAAGCACCGGCGGTCGGAGCTGCGCGGTCTCGGTTAAGCCCCGCCCCCCAGAGGGCAGACCTGCCCGTCTGCGTTTCTTGTGGGGGAGGGTCAGTCGCCCTCCACGGAAGCAGTTGACTTCCAGACTGAGGGTGTATTGAAGGATGTTTGTTTGCTTCTTTTGTTATTGAAACTAAAATCGTTAAATCTGAATTTCTAGTTTAGTTTAGGAACAGGGCTGGTTTTCCTCCTTCTGGCCCTCTACTCACCGAATGCTCGTTAACTGGGGTGTCTTGTTTCTACCTGGCTGTCGGTGGAGGGCGTCCCGGGGAAGCGCACGGCGTCGAGGGGCGGGAGAGGGGGCCGGAGGCTCCGGGGTGATGTCTGTCTGCCTGGGGTTCGTCCCCCCGCCCCCAATAAGCTCGCCTGCAGCAGACCGGTCTCGGGGACGGTGTTTCACGGCTGCGCGTCGCTGGGGGGGGGGGAGCCGCTGTGTCTGGAGGTCAGAGGGGGCTGCACGGAGGCAGCTGCCTCGTGTCCTTCCGCGGGGGGCGGGGGGCGGGGCTGGGGCGCGCCGGGTGAGGCTGCACCTGGAAACGCCCTGGTTTTGTCCGCATCTTCTTTCTTCGGGTCAGTGCCGCGTGACCCAGGTTCCTGACTTAAAACAGCCTTTTGCGAGTTGGGTTTCGTGCCTAGGGTATCCATCCGGAAGGAGAGGGTGCAGACTGTGCGAGCCGGTCTTGGGGCGAGGGCCCTGCGGTGTGTCCGTAGTGGGTGTCGTGCTGGGTGCCTTGTGAGTGGGTTGGCCGCTGCTCCTGGTCAGCCCAACCCGCCCTCCCCACCCCCTCCCCTTCCCCACCCCCTACCCCTCCCCCCTCCCCCCAAAGAGACCGGAGCCCACCGCTGTTGCTCTCGCACAGGAACAGGGAGGTGAAGCAACGCACTGAAGGGCGCCCAGCTCCGAGGTGGGAAAACCAGGCCGAGCGTTGGGAGCAGCCCTGCTGAGACCGCCCTGCCCCCCGCCCCCTCGAGGGTTGCCCCCTGGCGTTTGGGGCGGGTTTCCGAAGGGAAGGGACGGATGGATGGGCGGGGCCGGAGCCGGGTGCGGCGGGTGCTCAGCAGCTGCCCTTGCAGCTCCCTCTTAAGCCTCCGAGGCCTTCTTCGTGGTTCGAAGTCAGAGCAGGTGTGTGCGTTAGGTTTCTTCGTTCGGGTCGAGTATTTCGTGGGTGCATCTCACGTCAGGGTGTGTTTTCTCGAGAATGAGGTGACGCTTTTTGCACGGGAAGCTGCCTGCGTGGGGAAGGATGGTTTTGAATGCAGCAGGCTGGGTGTTGCAGTGCACACCTACACAAACGAGTACACGTGTAAGTGAAATAAAGCAAGTACTCACTTCTAACTTTGGCAGAACACACGACAGCTGCCGACAGAACATTTTCGCTGCTTTTCCTCAGTGAACCGCTTTACGAAATACCAGGCAGGATAAGGAGTGCGTGTTGGAGTTCCATGTTTTACATTTTTTTTTTTACAGCAGTCTTGGCTCTGCCCGGCCTCCGGGGGCTGCACAAGCAGATGGCTGTGGGCTCCTGGGGTGGGGGTCAGGGGGGCCACATCCTGGGGGGGTGGGGCCCGTGCAACGCGGGGGGCCGCTGGCCTTTCCCTCGGTCTGCCGCCTGGCCCCCTGGCCCCCGCTGCGGGGGACCTCCCAGGGCCCTGCGCACTGTCCCTGCTCTTCACCCCACGGCCTGTCCCTGGGAGGGGCGCCCGGCAGCCGGGCAGGCCGGGCCGCCACCCCCCCCCCCCCCCCCCGGCCCCGAGGTGCCTGCGATGCCGTCTCCACGGAGCGGACGCGTCAGAGCGATTTTCAGAATGTTTTTGTTCTGAAAACCCTTTTTCCTTTCGATCCCAACTGTAATTGTGTCGGGACGCCTGCTCTGGTAAGGCCAGCGTTCGCGGGAGCGTGAGAACAGACACCGTGCCGAGGGCGCCCGGGGCTGCTCCCCGCGGGCGGGGGGCGTGTTCCCAGGTGAGCGGTCTGGGGAGGTGGCTGCGGGCGCTGGCCGGTCAGCTGACCCGGGCCCGCCCCGTAGGCTCATCCTGGGAGGCGTCTCGGTGCTGCCCTCAGGCCCTCCCTCTTGGTCCGTCCTCTCTGGGACTCCGCCGGCCGGCCGGGTGCCGTCAGGTCGCGGGTCCCTGTCCACGGCCGCCCTGTCCCCGAGTGTGCTGCCTGCGTGGCGATGCGGCTGAACGCCCTGCTGGGGCAGGGCCGGCTCTGTGGGGGCGGCCCCTCTGGGCAGCGGGAAGGCGTCGGCGGTGCCCGCGGAGCCTGTTAGGGCGCTCCTCCGGCTTCTGTGCCGAGCGCGGCAGGTGGGACGTTCCTCTGCGATGGCCGCGCTGTGGAGGATGAAGAGCAAGCCCAGGGCGGCCCCCGGGGCTGGGGCCCCCAGCGGCAGGTCCCTTTGCCCGGTGAGCACGCTCGGATGCTGTCCGGCCGCGTCCGGTTCTCGACACAGAGGAGGGTGCTTTGGGGTGTCCCAGTCTCCCTGTCCTGTCTTTGTGCCTCTGGAGCCTGGTGCGGGCTGGGGGGAGCTGCAGTGTGGCGTGGGGGTGGGGTGCTGGCCATCGGCATACAGGGGTGTCAGTGTTTTCTTTCTTAATGGCAGAAAGGTGTGGTTTTTTTAAGCTGCCTTTTGCACTTCCCTGTCTTTCTGTTGTTGAGACGAGTGTGTTACTGGCAGGACGGCATCCCCTGTCCCCCGCCTCCCCTGGGGGGTCCGAGGGGCTGTGGGCACTCTGGACGGAGGCTGTGCCCACCTCTGCGGCCGGGGGCCTGAGCGGCAGGTGGGCTGGGAAGGGCCGCGTTCACAGTCCGTGCGGACGACCGGCCTCGTCCATGCTGCTCTCCGGAGTGCGACTAGACACCCTCCCCCCCGGGGGGGTCCTCGGGGGGGGGCGGGTGGTGCAAAGCAGTTCACCAGGGTCCGGTCGGGGTTTTAATAGTTTCACGTCCTCGTCAGATCCTCTGCTGCTGGACTCCGTGCCCCTCCAGGCGACGGGGACTGGGACAGTGAGTGGGGATCACTCATCTGAGCGGCCTTTGTCCCCAGAGGCTTCTCTGCAAAGGACACCTGCAGGTGGGGGGGGCTGCGGGGCCCCTGCTGTGTCCTGGGGGCTCTGAGGGGCCACGCGTCCCCGCGGGGCGTGTCTCCAAAAGGCCCGAGGGAAGGCTGTGGGATCTCAGGTCAGCCGGCCCCTTGAAGTCTGCGGGGGTGTGCGGTTGCCTGCCTCAAAGGGGCCTCAAAGGGACGGTTCTGAGACTCCGGGCCCCTGCTGCCGGCAGGGTCTGCGCTGGGGCGCCGCTCCGAGAGCAGCCGGTCCACGGGGCCCTTCAGGGCCAGCCCGGGCTTCCTTTTCATCTGGGGGGGGGGGTTGGCCTTGCAGACCATGCCCCCCACTGCGCCCTGCTCCGCATGTCCCTGGGTTATTCTTAGTCTCCACCTGGGACAGCCCTGAGGGCAGGCCGGCTTCTCTCTTTCCAGGGTGATGACCCCAGTCCTGCTGCAGGGTCAGGTTGGTTCCTCGCCCACTGGGGGGAACCTGGGCTCTGCTTGGCTTTCGGGGTCCCTTGAGAACTTCCCTGGGCAGCACCCCGTCTGGGTGTGTCTGGTTCCCGTGCCGGGTGTGGGGTGGTGGGGACACCAGGTAGCCCTCAGGGTTGGAGACGTGGTCCTCACGCTGTCAGATTTTAGGTCGCTCTGGCCCCTCGGACGGCCCCACGACCCTGGAGCCACGCGGGCAGGGGCCGGGTGGAGGTTGATGTCCTTTGACCACGGGAACGGGGGTGGGGGAGGGGCGGACAGGGTGACTCAGGAGCTGCCGGAAATATGTAAATCCCTGGATGCGTTCTAATGCAGATCTGCTTATTTTGCTTCCTGGTAAGGAGTTTTTGGGGTAATGTTTCAGTAAAACGAAATTCTTGACATCTTTTTAAGTTGTTTACAAGCAAAACTTTACTAAGAGCCTTAAAAATAAACACCTTTTTTATTTTTATTTTTTAACTTAATTTCATTTTTTTTAAGGTTTTATTTATTACTCGTTTTTATAGAGGTAAGGGAGGGAGAAAGAGAAACATCAATGTGCGGTTGCTGGGGGCTGTGGCCTGCAACCCAGGCACGTGCCCTGACTGGGAATCAAACCTGCGATGCCTGGTTCACAGCCCGAGCTCAATCCACTGAGGTACGCCAGCCAGGCTGAAAGTTAAACACCTTTCAACACAACATGCGTTTTAACTTGTGATTCCGTGTTTTTTAATTTGTCACTGAAATGACTTGTAACGGACAGTAATGAACAGGTTGCATCCGTCTGGACTCCGTCCCTTGTGATCGGCCTGCGGGTTTACGGAGACGGCATGGCCAGCCGAGACTGCTCCGCTCCCCCGCGTGGTCCTCAGCCCGGGGCCCTGTCCAGGGAGGAGGGGTGCCTGAGGTGCTGACCCCCGGTGTGAAAGGAATTTGCAGGCGTCCTCTGGGGTGCTGAAGGTGTTGCCTAGCCTCTTTCAGGAACCGGGGGGAGGGGGAGGTTTAGAGTGACGAAGGCCAGCCCAGCCACCCCTGGCCGGAGCTCCCCTGGCCTGTTTCAGACGGAGGCCGGCAGACTCCTGTGCGCCCCCCTAAAATGGAGACCTGAAGGCATTCTCGGTGGAACAGAGGCAACGAACACCCAGAAACCCACCCCACTTTCTGGGACTCTCCGGTGGGGCGGGAATGGGGAGGCCGGAGGGGTGGTGCCTTCGGAGCACCCTGACCTTGGTGTGGTCTGAACTGCAAGGCTGTAGCTGTTGCCTTTTCTTACGGGGGGTGGGGGGGAGGCAGGACCTCCTCACCCGGCAGCCTGGCTGATGCTGGGACCGCGAAGGCGCATGGTGCCCTGGCAGGCCCTGTGGCAGGGCAGCAGCTCGCTGACGTGCGTGCGCGGCAGGCAGCAGTGGGTGCTGTCGGGCCGTGAGCCGGGGTCTGGGTCCAGGAGCGGGCCAGAGCCGTGTTGGCCGGGGCCGGTGCCTTTGTTGCGCAGGCTCCCAGCAGCCTGCGCTCGGGGTTGCTGGGGGGCGGGGGTCCTCCCCTCTGTGAGGTTTTCGTCCCCTCGTGTTCGTGCTGTGGGGCAGTGGCCTTGAGAGTTGCCGTTGGGCCGTCGAAGCACCTGTGGGCGTTTCTGTGTGAATGGGTCTGCTTGCTGTTTCATTTTTTCCGGCGAGGCCGAGTTACACCGTGTATTTAGGGACGTGGTTGTGCCGGGAGCCGTGCGGCCGCCAGGCTGCTCCTTGGTCGCCACCGAAGGGGGGCTCCTTTGTGGGGCCCTCGGTGTCGGAGATTCCTTGGGCCCACGGGCAAGTGCCACGGGCAGGCGACCAGTCCCCTCGGCAGAGCGGCCGGTGCCAGCAGCAGCCGTGGTGGGAGGGTTGGAGCCACCGTTCCGGATCTGGGTCGCAGCGCCGCCCCCCCACCCCCCGTTGTAGGTGGGTGTCCTTCCCACCGAGCCCACAAGCGGATGGCGTGTCAGGGTCGGCTCCGGGGTGGGCGGGTGAGGGACATGGCCCTGCCTGTGCACATGCCCCTGTGGGAGGCGCTTCGTGCCCAGGACAGCTGAGGCCGGAGGAGCCGGAGAGCAGCCGGTCCTGGTGGGTGGCCGGCCGGCCGGCCTCCAGGGACAACCCTCACCCTCGGGCAGTGTGTGTGGGCACCGCCACGGACGGGAGCTCGGGCTGCAGAACAACCTCTGCGTGACCCGCGGAGAGCCACAAACACCTCCGCTGCGTGCACAGCCGGCCCAGGGGGTCCGGCCTGCAGGGGGCGCTGGGTCCCCCGGGGTGTACACAGCCTGTGTGCTCGGGAGCCGTTCTCTGTTTCAGGGCCCCGGCGTCCCAGACCAGACGGAGGTCAGGAGGGGACAGGGCCTGCCACCGACCCCGAGCCTGCGAGGGGAGTGGTGTTTGTCTGCCCTTGAAGCAACTGGGGTGTTACAGAACAGACAAGGGGGGGCTGAGACGATACACTATCACTGAAAGAAGCCCCCAGGTCCGTTCTGTCCACAGCCAGAGGAAAGACGTCTCTCAATGCCAGAGATTCGTGAAAAGGAAAGGAAACGTTTATTTAATGCTGTACAGACTTAAAGTAAGGACCTAATGTCTTCGCCAAAAATCCTAAAGTCCCTTAAAACACCCACAAACAGACACAGTTCTTCCTTCCTACCCGCTTTGCCCAGTCCAGAGTACCGTATCTCCTAAAGCTGCGGGGGTTCCCACTCTGGCAAAGGCACATGGTCCTCTCTCCCCGGACCACGGGAGTCCCCACTCTGCCCGAGCCGCGTGGTTCTCTCCCTCAGGGCCACGAGAGTCTTCACTCTGCTAAAGCTGTGTGGTTCTCTCTTGCAGGGCTGCACGGTTCTCCCCCCTCAAATGGCTGCCGAGTCTTGGTTTAAATCCCAGCGCCAATCTTCCTCTGAAGCCCCATTTCCGGCTCCTCTCACAATTGGCTACAGCTGCCAGATTCTGGGCAGGTGTGGCCCTGTGGTGTGGAGCCAATGATCTGCAGGCTCTTCTGGGTCTTATTACATATCCCTGTTTGAGGCTCCCCTCTTGGCACCCTGTTACAGGGGGAGAGGGGTCACACCTGTGTCTGTGGGCGTCTGTCTGTTCTCCGGGGAGTTGCTCAGCTGGCAGAGTCGTCCCTGCCCCGACAGAGCGTGCGTGTACGCCGCCTGGGGGTCTGCTGGCTGACACGCCTGGTCTGCCGGGCGAAACGCGCCAACGACGCCCCTCTATAGCGTCAGTGTACGTCCGGGCGAGTGCCTCGCCTCCTGGCGGAGACCCAGCCCTGCATGGGCCGGTGGGGCTGGCCGGGCCGCACGGAGGCGCTCTGTCTTGGCCGTGCCGCCCTGGAGGAGCCGCGTGCCCTCCTGGGCCCCGTGGTGTCTGCCGCTGCGCAGGGACGCCAACCGTGCCCGCGTGCGGCAGCGGGTGTGTGTCAGCGGGCGGGGGGGCGCTGGCGGTGGGGAGCAGCAGAGACACGCTTAGCCCAGGCTGTTCCGGGATGTGGACGCACCCTGTGAAGAGGCTGCAGGCCAGACCGGGCGCCCCTGAGCGCCAGCCTCACCTGCCCCGCCCTCTCCTGTGTTCCGCCCACAGAGTGCGGGACCGGGGGCCTCGAGCCGCCGCAGCCCACAGGAGATGAACCCCTGCGACCCGAGCCCGTCCCCCCAGGACGCCAGTGGGCCAGCGCCGGCAGCCACGAGGCAGCTGACGGACGCCGACAAGCTGCGCAAGGTGATCAGTGAGCTCCTGGAGACGGAGCGCACCTACGTGAAGGTGAGCGTGCCGCCCGCCCCCCACCGGGTGCGGGCGCTGTGTGTTCCTCCGGGCGCCGAGCTGGTCTCTCTGGGCCGGGCCGCGCGGCTGTCCCTCGGAACGTGAGCGTTCCCTGTCGGTGTGCCAAGGAGGCAGGGCGGTTCTTACAGCGACTCCCTGCGACACGCGGGTGGGGCGGGGCGGGGCCGGTCTGCAGTTGTTGGGGGGGCGGGGGAGGACACAGTGAGTGGTCGGTAACGGCACCAGGAGCAGCGGTGTCCTGTGCTCACCGCGGCAGAAGTCGACTTTAGCACAGGAAGGTCTGTTACTTTCAAAACCGAGTCGGGGTCCAGGCAGAAGGGGACCGGGCCTGTGTCCATGTGTTGCTGCTTGTGCTGACCGTCAGTCACCCTGTGTCAGTCACTTCCGTGCAACTCACGGAGCGCTCTTACGGGACACAGGCACCGTGCCGTTCCCGACAGTCCCGGCAACTGCAGCGGCTGTGCACCCTGATGTGGAGCTGAGCTGCGTGTCACGCCGGCACGGCCTGTTTCGAACGGTCCCAGTTGGCCTGTAACTCGGGGTCGGCCAGGCCCGGCCCTCTGCCCGCTCTCGCCGACTCAGTGTTAGTGGCACAGGGCTCTGCCACCTGTTTCTGTGTCGCCTGCTGTCGGGTGGTCGGTGCAGGGCTGAGAAAGGCCGGGGGCCGTGGGCACGGGGCTGGGCCGGTCCACGCCTCCAGGCGCCCCAGAGGCCTCCTCCCCACGGCGTGCTCACGGGCACACTCTCCCACGCAGGACCTGAACTGTCTCATGGAGAGATACCTCAGGCCCCTTCAGAAGGAGACCTTTCTCACCCAGGATGAGGTACCGTGGGGGTCGCCCTCACGCGGAGGGGGCGGCGGGAGGCCGGCGGGGCAGGTGCAGCTGCCGAGAGCAGTCAGTCAGGGCTCACTGAACCGTGGCAGACGGGGTGCATCGTCGCTCCCAGGGAGGTGGGGGGGCCGCCCCGGCCTTGGCCGCAGGGTGGTGATCGTAATTGACGCATACTGATACAAGAACTTGGAAATCAGAAGCAGGTCCAGCTCTGAACTGATGAAATGTGAGAGGGACTGAACTCTCCTGCGTTTTCCAGCTCGACGTGCTCTTTGGGAATCTAACCGAAATGGTCGAGTTCCAAGTAGAGTTCCTCAAAACTCTGGAAGACGGAGTGCGACTAGTACCTGACTTGGAAAAGCTGGAGAGGGTCGATCAGTTCAAGGTGGGTCAGCCCTCCGAGGGCGCGGAGCCTTCCCGGAGGTCGAGGTCAGTGCCGCGAGGCCGCGTGCTCTCGGCCGGTTCCCCGGCCCACAGCGCTGCGCCCTCACCGGCCTGCCGCTCCGACGGCGGCCCGGGGCGCACGGGCCGCTCTGACCCGGACGAGAGCCAGCACCGCCGGTGTGCGCGCACCCCGCGGCTGCTCCGGGGCCGTGCCCGCCGCGCCCTTGGGTCCCCCGCGCTCGGGGCCTCCAGCTGGCCTCGCTGTCGCGTCGGTGGGGCGTCCTCGGATCCCCGTGGGCACCGACTAGCCCCCCGCCCCCCATCCCGGGGGCCTCTGCGCAGCAGAGACGCTTGTCATTTGTCGTCCCCTCGGGAGGCTGCGGGCGGCCTGTCCCCGCCTCGTGCCCGGCGCCCTTCCTTGCGGGCGGTCCTGGGTCCGCCCCAGGCTGCACGTCCACGCCGCGTGCGGGCCGCCTGGGTCCACGCCTCCCGACCGGCCGGCTGCGGCCTGGGGGGGCAGCAGCCCCTGCAGAGCCCGCCAGTCCCTGCCGACGCCGCTCCGCCAGGTCCAGGCCGCGGGGCGGGTGGGGGTGGTGAGGTGGCATGGGGAGGCCCCCTCGGCCCCTGCTCCTGCCTGTGTGTGCGGGTCGGGCCGTTGGTGGCCGAGTGGACGTGGTCCGTCGGTGTCGGCCATCAGCCACACTGCCCACCTGGGGACCGGTGATCACTCACTCCTAACACCTGTTTTCTCACGCGGAGCCTTTCAATTTTAAGACAAATAAGCAGCACTTCTGTCTCTCTCTCGGGAAACAAGACCAGGTTAAGGAGAAACTCACAGAAGGTTCTCTCCTGAGCCCGTTTCACCGGTTCATATGAAACGCAGGACAGAAGCGTCCCTTGTCGGGGCAGGCAGCTCCTGGTGGGAGGGCCTCCCCTCATGGCTGCCCGTCGGGGTGGGGAGCAGGTGGGAGGCCCGGCTCCCAGGCCGAGGCTGGCGGTGCGACCAGGGAACCGCGCTCTTGAGTTTCGGGGTGTCTACACCTCTGGCCCCCAGTGCCGGCATGTCTCCCGTGAACACACCCTTTAAAAGCCCCGGCCTGGCCAGCAGTGCCATCTGTGCTGCCGCTGCCTTGGAGGCCAGCGCCGGCGCCCGTCACTGCGTCTGTCGGCCCGTGCGCGCTCCCCAGGGCCCGCTGACCTGCTCTCTCCTGTCCGTCCAGAAGGTGCTGTTCTCCCTGGGGGGCTCCTTCCTGTACTACGCCGACCGCTTCAAGCTGTACAGCGCCTTCTGCGCCAGCCACACGGAGGTACCCAAGGTCCTGGTGAGAGGTATGGCCGGGGGGCGGGGGTGTCGGGGGGCGGGGCTGCATCGCTGCCAACTCGAGGCGCGGGGCCTGCCGGGGCGCGGGGGCTCCGGACTGGAACCGAGGCGCTGTCAGTGTGGCAGGGGCTCGCTGCTCCACAGGCCCCACCGGGGCCGGGGGCTCGGGTTCCTCAGGGCCCGGTGAGCCCTGGGCCCGCCGCGTGGGGCCGGGGTGGGGGTGGGGGGGCGGCGTGTGAGGCCGTCGCGCAGATGTGCCGGGGTCGAGGTGCCGGGCTCTGCTCCTGCCCACGCTGCCTGCACTGGGAGCCGCCCCCCACCCTGCGTGGGTCCGCCCGGTGCGCCCTGCTCAGCCCACTCACGAAGGGCACGGGCTTTCGAGGTTGGCAGCCCCTCTCCCCTCCCGAGTGCTCTGGAAGGCCCCGAGCGCCCTCAGAGTGTCCAGAGAGGGCTTTTGTGTCCGTGGGCCAGCGTGCGGCTGTCTGACGTACGAGAGGGCCAGAGACGTGGCTGCCTGGAGGGTAGTGCAGCCGGGAGACCACCCGGCCCCGGGGACCTGGACACAGCCGCCATCCCTGCCAATGTCACGGGGGCTGGGAGGCCCGCAGTCAGCGCGCTGGGCTCGCTGCTGGAGGGGAGGGGCTGGGCTGGCTCGAGCGGGCCCTGTCCCCGGGCGCGTCAGCACCACTCGGGTCTGCGCAGGGCGGGGGCCTGCCCACAGGCGCCAGCACCTCTGCCCCGACCCTGAGTCCGCCCGGAGCTGAGAGGGGGCATGGGGGCCCCGTGCAGCTGGCGCCTCCCGCACAGGCTGCGTTGGTCACGCAGGGGCGTGTGTGCATGCGTGTCTTTCTGCTAGTCCCCTGACGCTGGGTGCTGCCAGGCGGTCGGTGCAGCGGTTCTGGAGCTCTTTCCCCCCCAGTGAGATGACACACCGTCTATCCTTGGGGCCGTTTGTGTTATTTTTAAACAGTCGACTAGATTAGCTTCTACCCCTGTAGGTTTTTCGTGATAACGTTTGCACCTGAAAGATATTATCGTGTCTTTCAAATTACGCTGTGAAACGTTGGGTCTGACCTACATTTTCCTGACGGCCAGCCGTGCCGGGAGCGAGGCGGGGCCGAGGCCGGGAGCGGCTGGGACTGTTCCCCAGCTCGCAGGGCTGCCGGCGTGCCGGCCCAGCAGGCCACGGGGCCCAGGCTCTCCCTCCTTCACGCCCTGACGTGGCGCGGACGCGGTGGGCTCGCCGCCCGTGGCTGTGCTGGGGACTCGGGGACTCGGGGTGCCCCAGAGGGCAGGGCTTCCTCCTGCGCTGGCTCTGGGCCTGGCCGCCCCCCGCCCTGGCACGGGCCTCCCCGGTCACTCGCTCCCTGGCCCGCTCCCTTACTCTCAGGAAGGAGGGGAGGCGGCTGCCCCTGTGGAGCCTGGTGCCCCCTCGGGGGGCTGACAGGATGCAAAGACGGGGGTCTGTCCGAGGCTCGGCTCTGCCCTTGCTGTGCCCCTGACTGATAGCGCGGCGAGGAGACTCCCCCACAGAGCCCCCTCGGGCTCCATGCACCTTTGGACCCGCATGTGCGCCGTGGGTCCCGGCCGGTGGGGGTGCGTGTTTCACCCCACCTGTGGCTTCTGGGGAACCGTGTGCTTCTTGTGAAGTCACTGTGGTGCCTCCTTTCTCCTCCCGTTCTTCCCCCTCGCCGCCTCTGCCCCTCCCCAGGGGCCTGGACACAGGTGGGACCGCCGGTGGGCGGGACTGGTGTGCTGCCGGGACCCTGTCCCCGCGCCCCTCCCAGAGTCGTGGGGCTGCCCGCCAGCCCCGGGAGGCTCGAGAGCCAGGGAGGGGGCGTTTCCAATGTGCGTTCTCGTGAGATGCAGTGAGGCCGACGGGCCGGGAGGTGATGGCCATCGAAGAGATGGCTTGTTACGTTCCCAAGAAGAGGGTCACACCAGGCCACGCGGGGCCACACCGTGTGGCACAGGGCGGCTCTGCAGAGAAGGGCCGGAGGGGTGCTGGGCAGGAGCCTTTCCAGAGAGCGAGGCTGGGCAAGCTGCACAAGCCCAGGGCCCTGCGTGCGGGGGACCAGCTGCTGGCCGCCGGCCCTGGGGGGGTGGGGCGGGGACAGTGGGAGAGCTCGTGGGACAGCTGGGGGCCCCGGTGGGGGCCCCTCAAAGGGCTGGGACTGAGGCCGCGTGCCCTCGCAGCCAGGACGGACGCGGCCTTCAAGGCCTTCCTGGACGCGCAGAACCCGAAGCAGCAGCACTCGGCCACGCTGGAGTCCTACCTCATCAAGCCCATCCAGCGGGTCCTCAAGTACCCGCTGCTGCTGCGCGAGCTCTTCTCGCTGACGGATGCCGACAGCGAGGAGCACTACCACCTGGACGGTGAGCCGGCCCCGCCCCGCCCCGCCCCGCCCGTACTCCGCCCCACCCCACGCGCCTCCCCGCGGCCCCTTCATGCCCCGCCTGCCCTGCTGCAGTGGCCATCAAGACCATGAACAAGGTGGCCAGCCACATCAACGAGATGCAGAAGATCCACGAGGAGTTCGGGACCGTGTTCGACCAGCTGATCGCCGAGCAGACCGGTGAGAAGAAAGAGGTAAGGATGCCGCCCTCTCCCCCGAGCAGGTGTGGGTGGAGCAGGTGTGGAGCAGGTGTCGGTGGGGAAGGCCGGTCCGACCGGGCTCTTGGGGCTGTGTGCGAGGACGGCCATCACGGAGAGCTCGGCCTTGAGGGTGACGACCCTGCGCCCTGCATCCACGGCTGCCGTGCGGGGCTTCTTACCGAGCCGGGTCACTGTGGCTGTGGGATGTGTGTCTGAGCCCCCTGCCTCTCGGAGCTCGGGCCGGCCGAGTGCAGAGTGCGAGGGTGCACACCGCCGCCCGGGCCCGGGACAGCTCCGGAGGCCCCCGACGCGGCGAAGCCACACGCCCGAGGCCAGAGCAGCACCCGGCTCGGGGGCCCCTGGAGAGAGGGCGGGGCACACTGGGTGGTGCCCGAGTCCCTGGGAGGGCCGACGGGAGAGCCGACAGGACCCAGTGCACTGGTGGCCCTGCAGCGGGCGGGTGGGCAGGCTGTGCGTCCGACCCACCTTGGCTCCGCTGTCGGCCTCGCTGGCCGGGGGCTGGGGGGGCTGGGAATGCAGGGGCGTCCCTGCCGCAACGGGAGAGGGGCCGTGTGGGGACGGGCGGAGCGTGATGATTGGCGCGGGTGGAGGAAGCAGCCTGGCCAGGCCGGAGAGGTACATGGCTGTGCCGAGAGGTCCCTTCTTGTCCTCGGGGAAGGGAGGTTTTGGACGCCGGGAAGATAATTTTCTAAAGAGGTCAATTCTCGACCTTCTGCCTGAACGTGGAAGCGAGGACAAAAGGAGAAGTTTCTCGACGGTGGGAGGGGGCACACCTTGCCCGGAAAGGCAGGGTCTCGGAAAGGCAGGGTCTCTCGGTGTCCCTGCGGCGTGTGAGTGCCGCGGTCCATCGGTCCCAGGCGGGGCAGGACTCACAGCTGCCCTCAGCTGCGCCTTCCCAGGGGCCGCGGGGCGGGGTGCGTGCGGGGCCTGTAGACGTGTCTTCCCTACCGAGGAGCCCCCTCGCCCAGGGTGCACGGCACGGGGTGTGGGCAGGAAGGGGGTGTGGCTCAGACGGCGCAGCCCGCGAGCGGGAATGGTGAGTGGGAATGGCACGGCCGGCCTCCTGAGGTGAAGACCCGCCGCTCCAGGAGGACATCTGCGCGGCGGGGGGGCAGGGGGCGCCCGTTGGGGGTTCTGGGGACAGAGGCGCCCGGAAGACGAGAGGGGTGGCAGGCCCGCCCTCCGTCCGTGGGCGCTGCAAGAAGAGTGGGAGAGAGACCCCTCCCCAGGGGCTGGGGGATAAGCGGCCACAGACAGCCAACGGCTCCAGCAAGACCGAGTCCCTTCGGGTCCCATCACCTCTCCCCCAGCCTCCATCGGGGGGACGGACAGACGGACGGACGGGGTGGGCCTGGGAGGACGGGCGGCTCTGGGCCCAGAGTCCTGGCGGGCCCTGCGCTGCTGCAGAGGAGCCGGGAAGGAGGGGCGGTGGGGCGGCCGGAGGTGTGTGTCCCCACGGTCCCCGCGGTGGGGACGTGACGTGGGCTCTGGCCGGTGGTGTCCGCGGCATTGCGGGTGAGACGAGGCAGAGTCACGCGGACCACCCTCCGCAGTCCTGTGGAGGGGAAGGGGCGGCATGGCCCCTCTCTCGAGGGGAGGGCGCCCCGACCCTCGCCCGGACAGGCCTTTATCGGCTGTCTAGCAGCACACGCCAAGGGAGGTTCTCCTTCGTCATGCTCAGGTTGGCTTTAGGTGGCTACTTTTACAGCCAGCAGCGGAGAGGACGTCACTGAGGACTTCCTACAGGTTAACAGGGAAGAAACGTTGCGAATGCAGGGGCCCATAGGAGGAATTGGTCTGGTCACGCTTCAGTCCTCGGGAGAACCAGCACAGACTTCAGGGAGTCACGTTAAAGACCTGCAGTCAGCGTTTGCTGCCTCAGCTCTGGGAGGGGGGTTTTAGCAAAAAGCAGGTCTCAGAGCAGCTCAGGTGCCATGCAGGCCTGACTCCCCACGGGAGAGCCGACCCCGTGGGGTTGGCGTCCTGCGTGCCGCACACGCCTCCGGGCTGCCCCGCGGGGCTGGGCTGCTTTTGCCCTTCCCCGCGGGCCGGTTCCCCGCAGGGGTGCCTGGAGCCCGCAGCTCCCTTCCCCAGCCAGGCGTGGCTGCCAGCCGTGAGCTCCCGGAACGGTGACTGTGCCTGCTCCCGGGAGGGGCGGGTCTGCGCTGCAACAGTGTGGACCTGTGCTCGGATGAAGCTGGCCCTTCAGCCTCCCGGCCGCGTTGGGCTCGGGCGCCGGGCTGAACAAGAGCCCCACTCCCTTGGTCGGGGTGGGGGGGTGTTGCCCGAGGGCACTGCCGGGGACGATGGCCCAGCCCCCGCTCAGCGGGACTGGCTGGGCCCAGGGGACACAGGTCTCAGCAGAACTCCGTCGTGGGGGCTGGGTGGCCGGTTCCGGAGGGACAGTGGGTAGGCAGCGTGCCGGAGACAGCTGCTCTGGCCCTGGCCTCATTTCCGTGTGGGGTCTGGTCAGCCCACTGTGCCCGTGTGATGGACGAATCAGAGTGAGCTTCGAGCGGCGTTCCCCTCGCCCACGGCACGCAGGTCAGCTGCACTTTGGCCTGTCTTGGCTCTGGGGCGCAGGGCTCCTCGGGGTCGAGGCCGAGCAGGGTGGCCGCTGGGCACGTCCTTCCCGGCCGGAGAGCGGGGGTTTGGGGGTCTGGGGGTGGTGGTGGAGACTTTGCTGCTGCGTCCACGGCCCAGGGCACCGGCCAAGCCCCATGTGCAGGGGGGTGCTGGGGAGGCTGGGAGGGCCAGCGGGCCGCTGTGGGGGGGCACACTGGGTCGTCCTTCGGGGTGGCTCTCCGTGGGAGGAGGGGCCCGCCTTGCACCTGACCTTGGGGTGCCCGTGCCCAGACCTCACGGCTCTGCGGTGCCAGAGCCCGTGCTGCGGACCCACCGAGAGCACCGGCAGCCCCGGCAGCCCCGGCCCCCCCTCCCTCCTCCAGCGCGCAGTGAGCCTCCCCTGCAGCGGGCTGGAGGGGGGGGGGAGCCCGCTGCGCCCCGGGAGCCCGTGGCCCTGGGACTCCGAGTGAGCCTCTGGAAGTCCAGGGGTTCCGTGTCCTGGGGGGGTCATGGTGGGGCTGGGGGACCCTCACTGGGGAGCCAGCCCTCTCTCCCTGGGGCACCAGCGCCTGCAACCGCATGGTCAGTGTTGACAGAGTCACCGCGTGTGAGGTTCAGAGCCCGGTTTGCCTCCTCTCCCCTTTACAGTTGAAGCTCTGGTGGGCCCCTGGGAAAAGGGGGGAGCGAGCGGGTGGTTTCAGACGGCCTTTCCGTGAGCGAGGTGGAGCTGCCCTCCACCTGCCCAGGCCCCGCCCCCACTGAGGCCCCGCCCTGTCCCCCCGCAGGTGGGGGACCTGAGCATGGGCGACCTGCTGCTGCACACGACTGTCACCTGGCTGGACCCGCCCACCACGCTGGGCAAGTGGAAGAAGGAGCCGGACCTGGCCGCCTTCGGTGCGTGTCCGCAGGGGGCTGGGGGCGGGGGGCGGTCCGGCTCAGTTTTCAGAAGGAGGTGCTTTCTTTCCCGAGACGCAGTTTGTTAGGGGAAAGGTCGTCACAGCGGTGTGACTGTCACCACCCCGTCACACACAGTAAACTCCCCCTTCCGGTTGGGCGTGCCCAGGGGGCCACGCTGCCCCGGTCCACGCAGGGGCCAGCGTCGGCTGAACGACTGGCCGGAGTGCGCGGGGGGGGGGCGGGCGTCAGCCGCCCTCGTTGCGGGGACCCAGGTCTGAAACCCCCCCGCAGCCCCCCGCCCCCTCGCAGCCCCCTGCCCCCCTCGCAGACCCCCGCAGCCCCCAGCGCGTGTCCTCGGTGCCCCGCGCCCCAGTCCCGGCTGCCGGCCCCGCGAGGACGCTCTGGCCAAACGTGCGAAGGGCTGACGGTTCACGCGTGGGATGCCGGCGCCCCAGAAGTCCCCGCTGGTGCGGGGCGGGCGACTCCCCTCCTTCTGGGTCTGCGGGGATTCCGTCTCGGCAGACTCGGGCCGTGCCCCTGGGACGGGCGGGGGCCTTGCCGCCCCCTCTGTCGCGACCGTGCCTGCCGCCCTGTGTGGCCGCCGCGGAGGGGAGGCTGCGTGTTGCGAGCCGCAACCGCCTCTCCTTCCCTCTGTCTCGGCGTCCCCAGTCTTCAAGACCGCCGTGGTCCTGGTGTACAAGCACGGCCCCAAGCAGAAGAAGAAGCTCGTGAGCAGCTCGCCCCCGCCCCCCCCCCCCCCCGCCCCCGCCCCGCCTTCCCGTCTCCTCGGCGTGGGTGGCGTGGGTGGCGTGGGTGTCGCTGGCAGACGCAGGCGGGCCCCTCAGCGCGGGAACCTCGGGCGTCTGGCTCCCGGCCCGCGGCTGCACTGCCCCGGGTCGGGAGGGCGGGGCGGGGCCAGGCTGGAGAGACACTGTCTGAGGCACCCGCCCCGGCGCCCCCGCAGGTCGGCCCTCACCGGCTCTCCATCTGCGAGGAGTGGGACCCCTTCCGGTTCCGGCACATGATCCCCACCGAAGCACTGCAGGTCCGCGCCGTGGCCAGTGCAGGTGAGACTCTGCACGGGGCGGGCCGCCCCCGAGGGTCTGCACCCACCCTGCCGCCTTCACGCCCCCTGCACAGCCGGCGCTGTTTCCTGGCGGTCTCTCTGCTGCCCCTCGCCACCCGCCCTTCCCCGGCCGGCCGGGAGTGAGTGGGCGAGCAGATCCTGGAGTGTCGTTCCGAGGATGCCGGTCGCTCTGGACCCCGGGTCAGCCTCCCGGTGACCGACGGCAGGGCCACAAGGAGCCGTCGGGGAGAGCCCTTGGTCCCACCAGCAGGCACGGCCCGGGAAGGGCCCACCCGTCCCAGCACTGGCCTCGAGGACCACGCAGCCCAGACGGCCGTGGGCCAGTCCTCTCCCCAGCCCTGCGCGTCCTGGCCTTTGAGCCGGGTGGAGGCTCCCAGACCTCTTGGTTCCTCGTCTCCGGGCCGAGCAGCAGCGAGGGACCCCGCCTCGGGCGCTGCTGCCAGCACGTGAGATGCGCGAGGCGCAGGGTGCTGGCGGTGAGCCGGGGGCACCCCTGGAAGGAGCACCTTTGGGGGCCAGGTGGAAGCGCTGGAGTGTCTGGGGGCACAGAGGGCCCCGCGCGCCACGTCCCCGGGCAGCGGCTTGGCCCCCAGACCCCCCCCCGGGGGCGGCGTGCGGCTGGCCCCCAGCGACAACCCCAGTGACCCTACATGCAGCCGCCTCGAGGCTCCTGCGTCTCGTGCAGCAGGAAAGCTCAGTGTGGCGGCCGCCTCGGGCGGACACCTTGGTTTCGGGTGCGGATTTGCCGCAAGGTGTCTCTCGGGCCCCCAGCAGGGGCCCACCCCGTCCTCCCCAGTCAGGGTGAGTCGTGAAGCGGGCCTGCCCGCGGTGGCCTCGGCAGCGGCAGCGGCGTCTCGCGGGTTGAGCACTGCAGACGCGTGCTGGGTGGCCTCGTGGCCCTCCGCTCGTTGGCCGCATCCTGCCGGGTGCCCGGGCCTCGCGGCCGGGAGTCCCACCGGCCGGGAGTCCCACCGGCCGGGAGTCCCACCGCGAGCCCGGACGCGAGCGGGCGTGGTGTGCAGCAGGCGGAGCCGCCCTCGAGGGGCGCCGGCTCAGCACCTGGCGCGTCCTGCCGTGGAGTTTGGAGCCGTCAGGGCGGAGACTCTGGGGGGGGGGGGGCCGCGGCCAGTGGCCAGCCCCGGCCCCGGCGTGTGCTCTGGTGGAGTCGAGCGTCGGAGGCGGAGGCCGGGACTTGCGTCATGGGGAGAACTCTGTGTTGCCCGCCCCGGGTGGGGGCCGAGCGGCCGGGGGCTCTGTGACGGGCTCCCTGAGCCACCTCCCCAGACGCTGTGCTCATGCCTGCAGACGGCACCGTGCTGCAGGCTCGTGCCGTCGACAGGACAGCCCAGCAGTGCAGGGCACAGGGTCGCCTGCTCCTCGCTGCAGCAGGCGGGTTTGCGCACTCAGCGCAGGCCGTGCGGGGGGCTGAGAACGAGGGGCCCCGTGGGCTCCCAGCACCTGCTGCCGGCTCAGGGCCCTCGGGGGCGGGAGGCCTCTGCTGAGGGCGAGGGCCTGGTGTGGGCCAGCTGGTGCTGAAGCAGCTGCCCCCTGAGCTGAAGGGGTTCAGCCAGACCTGCTCCGCCGCCGGACGGGCCGGTTCCCCAGCCGGGGCGCTGGGCCGGGCGTCCACCCCCCAGGAGGGGACTTCTGCAGCTGGAAGTGTCCCGAGCGCCCTCCTCCTTAGTACTCGTGGGGCTCTGAGCGCTTTGTCTCCTAAGGTCTCGGGGTCCTGGGGTCAAGGTGAAGGTCCCCCGTCTCACGCTGCTTTGCTCTCCCGACGCTTGCCGGAGCTGGAACAGGCCCTTGTGAAAGGCTGGCCAGTCCCCGGACAGGCCCCTCACCCGAGCCCTCCTCCCCACCCAGACGCAGACGCCAGCACGGCGTGCGAGATCGTGCACGTGCGGTCGGAGTCGGAGGGCAGGCCGGAGAGGGTGTTCCACCTGTGCTGCCGGTGAGCCGGGCCGCAGGAGCGGCCCCGCAGTCCTTGGGGGGGGGGGTGGAGCCCGGTGGTTGGCGGGGCCTGGAACAGGGACTGGGAAGGGACACGGGGGTTTTCCCGTGTCGGGTGTCGCGTGCGGGTCTCTGGTCCCTGACAGGTGCCCCCCCCGCAGCTCCCCCAAGGGCCGCAAGGACTTCCTGAGGGCCGTGCACTCTGTGCTGCGGGACAAGCACCGCCGGCAGCTGCTCAAGACGGAGAGCCTGCCCTCACCGCGGCAGTACGTCCCCTTCGGAGGGAAGCGGCTGTGCGCGCTGAAGGGGGCCCGGCCGGCCGTGAGCAGGGCAGGTACCGTGGGGGCCCAGGCGTTCACGGTCCCCGCGCCCCCCGCCGCGCGGCAGCCCCCGTGAGCGCGGCGTCCTGGCCGAACGAGACGGAGCCGGGGCTGTGGGCCCCCCTCCAGCGTGAGGGCCTGCCCTGCCCCCAGCGCCCGGGGGACCCGCCCGAGCGCTCCCCTTTCGCCCCTTCGTCTGTCCCTCTGCTCCTCCTGCTCCTGCTGCTCCTGCTCCTCCTGGCTGGTGAGCTCCTCCCCCGCCCGCCCCGCAGCCCCCCGCAGCCCCCCGCAGCCCCCCGCAGCCCCCCGCTGGGCGCGCTCCGGCCGGGGTTGCCCGCCTGCACGAGGGCCAGCTTTGTCGAGCAGGAAGTGTGTCCTCTCAGCAGGGCCACGGCCACCCTTCGGAGGACACGGTGGCCTTGTGACTGGAAGCGCAGCCACGCCTGTTCTCCGTCGGGAGCCCGTGTGGGGTCGGCCTGTGACGGGGCGGGTCTCGCTAGCCTGTGCCCGCCGCTGTGGTGTGGGCGCCGGCACAGGCCGGGCGTGGCCTTGGGCTAGCCGCTGGTGACGGGGAGAGAGGGCCTGGGCCGCACAGCCCCGGAGTGGAGGCTGCTTCAGGGCTGGAGGGACCCCCCCCTCCCGGGGGCGTGTGATGGGGCCACGGCTGCCTCTGCGGGGGGCGGGCGGGGCCCCTGGGAGGAAAGCTCTCTCTCTGCACGGCAGGCGGGAGCTGTGGCGGGAGCATGGCCCCTCTTTCGCCACCCCTCCCACCTCCAGAGGCTGCCCCCGTGGCAGGGGGCGCCCAGGGAGGGAGGCCGCCCCCGAGCCTGCCTCAGGGCCGGCCAGCGTGTCCGGCTCAGTCACGGGGTGGGTGCGCGTGGGCGCACCGTCCTCCCCGCCCCTCACGCTGGCCGGCCGTCAGGGGTGCGTGCTCATGAGCCCCCTTCCTCAGTGCGGAGCGAGTGATCACGGGAAGGAAGCCTGCTGGCCCCACGGCCGAGCGGTGCCCTGGGAGGCTGCCCGCCCCCCCCCCCCACCCCCCCACTTGCTGGGGAACGCCAAGTTGGACTGGGAGTCTGTGTCGGGAAACCGCACCCGTCGTCGGCCAGCTTCCAGGGGCGTCAGTGACCCTCACGTTTCCCGGGAGAGCGAGCCCTTCGCGTGTGTCCCTTTCGAGGCCCCGTGGGGGGAGAGCACCACCAGCCGCAGCCGGTCTCTGCTCAGCCGCGTGAAGCGCGGGGCCTGTCTCCTGTCTGTGTGTGTGCACGCAGTGTCCGCCCCGAGCAAGTCTCTCGGTAGGAGGAGGCGGCGGCTGGCTCGGAACCGGTTCACCATCGACTCTGACGCCGTGTCTGCCGGCAGCCCGGAGCGAGAGGCCCAGCAGCAGCCCCCCGGCGCCGGGGACACCGACCGGTGGGTGGAGGAGCAGTTCGACCTGGCGCAGTACGAAGAGCAGGACGGCGTCAAGGAGACGGACATCCTCAGTGACGACGAGGACGGCGAGGCCGGCGAGCCTGAGGGCGGCGCCGGCGCGGACGGGGACCTGCCCGGGCGGCTGCAGGCCGCCTCCATCGGTCAGCGGGGCCTCGGCCGCCCACGCCCGGACAGCCACGCCTCCCGCATGGCGCAGCTCAGGAAGCAGGCGGCCCTGCCGGCCGTCGGCGGGGCCCTCGAGCCGGCCGGCGAGGAGGTCGTCTGGGTCCGGCGCGAAGACTTCGGCCCGTCCCAGAGACTGAACACGGAGATCTGACCGTCGGCCCAGAGAGCGGGTGTCGATGCTCGCCCCGGCCCTGCGCCCCCGCCGCCCCCTCCTGTGCCCTCCAGGACGGGATGGTCCCCTCAGCCGCACTCGCGCACACTCAGTCCTGGCCGCTGGCTTTGCTTGGGGGCCGCGTGCCGCCCGACTGGTCGCTCTGACGGCATCGGAAAGAACCGCTCAGAATCTCAAGTAGGCCTGCGCCCCACCTTCTGTGCGTGGCCGGGTCTCTCTGTCCCCGTTGACCGGGGCCGGGAGCGTGAAGGGGGACCCCGCAACGCCGGGTGGGGTCCCGCTCCCCGGGGGGCGTGGGCCGCGCCGCGGGTCAGTCGGAGGGGCAGCACGGGAGGGGCGGGAGCCAGGTTGCTCTGTGCGAGGGCAGTCAGGGGTCTCCCGGCTGGTGCGACATACAGGGACAGGGCCCCGGGGTCCCTGCGGCCCTTCCTCCTCAGTGTCAGGGCCGCCACGTGCCCGAGGGGCCTGCACCTCTCGGCGGGCCTCGCCCGCTCTGGTCCGTGGCTGGTCTCATGCGGCGTCCGCACTCGGAAGTTCTAGTTTTGCAGAGAATTATAAAGATGCCAAACTCTTTGAAAAGAGACCCAAATTTATCACTTGGGGGGAAAAAACGCTATTTTTTTGTATTTTACCTGAGAGGCAAGGCACAGACAGACTCGAATTTTGCAGCTTAGAGTGACCGAGACTGAACATGAGGGTTTCACCTCCTGCAGGGAGGCGTGTGCGAGGCGTGTGGCTCTGTGTCTGTGCACGTGCCCAGCCGGCAGGCCCCACGCACAGAAGACACGGTTTCCCAGAAGACCCTGTGCGTGTCTGTCTGTCTGTCTGTCTGTCTGAACCCCCTGGAGACGGGTGCCTGGAGCTAGCAGACAGCACGCCCGAGGGGGCCGGGGTGTATGCCCGCGGGGGGGCACTGGGGGCCCCTCCCGGGGTCGCCGTGGTGCCCCGCTCATCCTCAGAGTTGCATCTCTGTCCATCGCCCGCCCTTCCCCGACGCCCCTGACCCGCCTCCCGACAAGACCCCTCTTCTCGTCACGCCAACGAAACAGGGTACACACGCTAACACACACGCTGACACAGCTCTCACACGCCAAACAGGTTTTCATGCAGGGAGAACAAAACCAAGTTAAAGCACTTTCGATTTTTTTTTAAATAGAAAAAGGTTTGTAGCTTTGCCCCCGTTTCACAACGCCCACTTCCTAAGAAGGTTTAAATAATACGAAGACTTTCATTTGGGGAAAATACCTATTTGGTGTTTGACACACCAGTAGGTGCTCTCACGACCTGAATTTTGTAGCAGCTCTGGGGACTCTTTTGTACAAATCAGCCGCGACTTTCTACTCCGGACGTGCCGCCCAGACCCTCCCGCTGGCACCCCTGCTTGCTGCCTGCGCCCGCCTGCCCCCGGCTCCCGGGGCTTCCCGCTCGTCCCCGGGCGGGTTTCTTCTGTGGACTTTGCTACACCTCCCGGCTTTCTGGAGGAGCTTTAGAGTGGTTTCTGCGCCCTTCTCGTCCCCCACTGTGCACACCGCCCCCTCCCGCTGCGTCCCAGGGGGCGGAGCCTCGGCCCACCGCCGCGCGTCCGGGCCCCAGGGCGGTGGGCCTGCTCGGGCCGCGGGCCGGGCGCCCACGGAGGCTGTGCGCGGCGTGTCTGTGTCCAGAGTTCTTCTATATTTCTTTTATAAGCTGAGAGAAGGTCTATTTTTGTGTTTCTAGGTCTGTGAGCCGAACGTTGTAAATGCCTGTCGAACAATAAAAGCCCTGGGAAGTGTCTGTGGCTCTGGGCCTCTGCGGGCGGGGGCGGGGGCTGGCGGGACGGCGGGGGGCGGGGGGGGGTGCTGCCGGTAGAGCCTGGAGCCCTTGTTGGTGGCCAAGTTGTACCTGAGCCTCACGAGCCCCTTCTTTCCGTTCTGCCACAAACTTGTCCTGGAAGATGGGAGATGGAAACACAGGGAAACGGGAACCAGCCCTGAGCATGCTCAGCCGCTCAGTGACGAAAGGTGTGGTGGGGTCAGGACTGCGGCCTCACGCCCCCACGGCCGCCTTTGAAGACACCGGAGTTTAAACATTTTAATTTGGAAATGGAAGCATCTGTGCCAGGCTGTGAGTCCCCAGCTTCTGCGCCTTCTGGGGGCAGCAGAGCGGCCCAGAGCTTCCCTCGGCCTTTCGGCCGCCCCGCCGAGGCCACGCAGTGCGGCCACGCCCTGACCCCTGCCGGCCGGTCGGAAGGGTGGAGGTCATCTGCCTGTCCCTGAGGAACGTTCACGAGGTCCCGAGCTTGTCTCACGTGCTCTTTGGTGGCCGGAAGGGACCCTCGGCGTGCCAAGGCGCCCTTGTCAGGGCAACCCAGAGGGTGTTGGTGACGGATGGGGAGCCGCGTGCCCCGTCACCAACTCTGGGGGCTCGGGAGGGGCCCCAGGCTAGTGAGCCAGGAGCCTCAGCGTCCGGCTGCCCAGTTCACCATGAACAGGGCGGCCCGCCTGCTGCCCAGGGGCTTCCTAAAACCCACGTCACAGGAGACCTGCAGAACTGGGGGGGCCTCAAAGCAGAGCGACGTCGAGGGACATCACCAGGTAGGGGGACTGGCCAGTGTCCCTCGACGGAAGGCTGCGGTCTCAAGCCGAAGTCCCCCATCTGGGCAGGAACGTGAGGGGGCGGGCCCAGTGCTAGCTCTGACGACCCACCTGGCCTGGCTGTGCAGGTAACAGGTCTGTTCTTAGCTCACCTGTGCACACAAAACTTCACTGCTCACCTGGGCAGAGAGGTGTGCACAGCACTGTAGGGTTTGTAGCCGCGACAGACAGGTGAGAGAGGGGCAGGTGGAGGATGTAGACCAGCGATCCGTGCCCAACGCTGTGTAGCAGGTGAAAAGGACAGGCTGGCCGGGCGGGGACATCGGTGCGTCCGCAGCGTCCAGGCCAGTCTGGTGCCCGGTGGCCCCGGGCGCGGCAGGACTCCACCTACCACAGGTGAGACTCGCATCCCTTTCCGGCGGGGGCTTCTCGCTGGGTGGAAGATGGCCCGGTCCGACTCACGGGGGCGACTGGGACGTCCACAGGTCTGGCCAGCGCTGACTGAGTGCCGGCCGGGGACATGACGGGGACGAGCTGAAGTCCTGCCCCCGGGAGCTCCATCCGGCAGTGAGAGCTCGGGGGCCGCCGAGAGACCAGTGTTGTGGGCTCACCTTGGCGCGGCAGCCACCCCCCCCCCCCCCCCCCCGCACGTCCCGGGAAGGACGTCAGCCATGAGGACGGGGGAGCAGCGGGCAGCCTGAGGGTGTTCAGGGCTGTGGGGCCTAAAACCCGGGCACTTGCTGCCCCGTGTTCTCTTGAATTCTCTTCTGTATTTATTTTTACACTAAAAACTTAGGTAAGCTCAAATTGATTCAGCTTATTTGCATTAATATAAACCAATACATTAAAATGAGGTGAGCCCTGGCTGGTGTAGCTCAGTGGATTGGTGCGGACTACGAACCAAAGGGTGGAGGGTTCAATTCCCAGTCAGGGCACATGCCTGGGTGGCGGGCCAGGTCTCCAGTAGGGGGCGTGTGAGAGGCAACCACACACTGATGTTTCTCTCCTCTCCCTCCTTTCCCCTCTCTTTCAAAAGAAATAAAATCTTAAAAAAAAAAATCAAAATACTAAAAAATAAAACAAGGTGAAACTCACTTGGTTGTCCTACTGGCCGGTTTTTTGTTCCCTCTCAGAAAGTGACAGGCGGGTGGCCTCCCGCCTGGTGGGGTTAGGGGGATGGAGCCGGTGGTCCGGCCCCCACCTCCCCCCGTACACGCACATCTGACTGGTCCACACAAGTGTGCACATCCGAACCGCCACGCTGTGCCTCGGTCCGCGCGTCGCCCTTCTGGCACAGCTGTGAGGGGCCCAGAGGTTTCTCCCCTGAAAGCACCGCAGGCCCTCGATGCCCCCCCCTCAATTCCGTGGTTTCGGGTGCTAGGGCAGGTGTGGCTTCGGGCCGGCTGGGGCGAAACAGGGTGAGGTGACCCCGCATCTGAAGCAGCGCAGCGGGCCCTGGCACCCCTCCCCAGGCTTCAGAGCACCCGCCCCTGCATGCTCTGCCCCGCACAGGGCCCTGCACGGTGCCCCCGGGGCGGGGGGCAGAGCGCTCTCCACTGTGCGTGGGACAAAAGGAGGCTGGGGAGGCTGCGACCCTTGGCGTCTCCGCCAGGGGTGACCCGCCAGGGTCAGACCCAGGTGGGGACGGGCCCCGCTGTCCCGGCGGGAAATGCCCTGGCTGACTGTGACAACCGCGCCAGGCACTCAAGGGCCAGACGCCGGTCCTGCTGCTTCGAAGAGCAGCACAGGAAACATTCTGTCTTCCCGTCGATGAGGTGAGAGGTGCTGACCAGCATGGGTCGGGGGTTAAGGGCCATCCTGCAGTGGGGGAGGTCACCAGTTTCATTCCCGGCCAGGGCACAGGCCTGGGCTGCGGGTTCGGTCCCTGGCCAAGGTGCATACAAGAGGCAGCCTGTTGATGTCTTTCATGTGGATGTTTCTGCTCCTCTCTTCCTCCCTGTCCCTCTCTCTGAAAACAAAACGAAATGAAATGTTAGAAAAAAATTAAGGTGATAACAGAACAAGCTGCATTCACCACCACGGTCCAAATTTTTTGCCAAAAGAGCTTGTCCCCAGGAGGGCCCAGCAGCGCCTGCCAGGCCGGTGTCCTTTCCAGGGCCTCGGCGAGCGAAGCGACAGCCGACCGGTGGCTCCCACCTGGCTCCCACCTGGCTCCCCGCTCGCGCTGCGTCGGGGTATTTGGAAGCCCAGGTGACCGGCTCCCGCCCCGCACCGCCTTGCAGTGCAGCCCCGGAGACGCCTCTCTGGCGCCCCCGGTGGTGGGTCGAGGTGACGCCTCTTGTCTAAACCCTGAGGGCCCTCCGCGCCACCTTTTCCAGCCCTGTGTCATCTCGCGCTCGGGGACGGAGGCCCCGGGTTACTACGTGTGCTGGGGGCTTGGGCGGCGGGCAGGGCTCAGGGGCGGAAGCGGCAATGCAGGGGTTCGGAAGGGCTGAGCGTCGGTGGGCACGGCCACGCACCAGGTCCCGGCGAGTTTCCTGCCACGCAGTGAGCAGGAACCTGGGAACTCCCCATCCCCACCCTCGCCGGATCCTCCTCCGTCACGCCTAGTCTCGGGGATGGCGTCCCCTTCCTTGGGGCGATCATCTCTCTCGTCACCTAGGTCCAGCCCAGCGTCGGGCACACCTTGGACCCGGACCTCAGCCAGCCCGGGGCCGGCGTCGCCTGGGCCGCCTGGTCCTGGGCTCTGCGGGTGGAACCCGGGCGCCTCCCTCCCCGGCCCCCAGGACGCAGGCACGTGTGCGGGGCGGGGCGCACCGACGCCCTGCACACGCCGGACCTCAATGCCGGAGGGGGCCGCGGGGCGGGGGCTGCAACTGGGCGCTGTGCTGGGGGGGAGGGGTGGGCACGCCCCCACCAGGAGGGGCGACGTCACCAGGCTTCCCTCCGCGCCCCGGGCTTCACTCGCCCTCGCGGGGGATCCTCAGCCCGCAGAGCAGGCGCTGCCGGGCCCGCCGGCGGGGGTGGGAGGGGCCAGGCTGCCCAGCTCTGGCTCAGCGTCACGCATGTCCGTGTAAACCTGCTTTTCAAATGAGGGTCTGTCCGGTCTCGGAGGAGCCCCGCGACCTCGACAGTCCCGCCCCTCTCTCCCCGAGGTGCATTCTGGGAGAGGGGCCGCGCCCTGAGAGAGCACGCTTGAGCTGACCGCACGTGGTTTACCTGCGGGTGGGCGGCCACGGGGCGCAGAGGGCGGGCCCGGCTTCCAAGTCTCCCTCCTCGGGACACTGGCTCCGAGGCGAGTTTGCTCGTTTACGAGGCTCGTTTTAGCTTTAAGTGGTTCCTGTACGTGCCCGGACCGGGGGTCGAACCCGCGCTTCGGTTTCAACGTAGCCTCTGAAGTCGAACCGACTTCGGTGAGAAAGAGAAGTTCTTGCACTTCCGCCTGCGGCCAGCAGAGGCCGCTCTTTCACTACGAATGTTTTAGGATGGACACTCGGGACTCGAGGAAAAGTAATTGTTCCCGTCCTCGGGCTCTGAGCCTCTGCCCTCTTGCTCCCGGCCCCCCCTCCGCTTCTCGTTCTCCACTCCGACTGCTTCAGTCCTTCAGCGCCGGGTGTCCCAGGGCAACAGTGAGGCCTCTGCCACGCAGTCACCACCTGGCCGCTGAGTGAGGTCCCCCGGTGACCGAGTCCCCCAGCAAAGGCACCCAGTGCAGAGATGCTTAACCGCCCCCTGTGCTGCCTTTTGGGGATGGGGATGACTTGGGACTTTGGGGCGGGTGTGCAGAGGGACAGCCGAGTGAGTGGTCACGTGGCCGAGGTTCGGGGCTCCCTGTCCCGGCCACCCCCTCTCGGAGAGCGACCCGCCCCGACCCAGCCAGGGCGAGTGGCCATTCCGAGACCCCGAATCTGGGGAGCGCCGAGGTGCCGACCTTGATAGTTAGTTGAAGCTCGTGGCCGGCAGGGCGACCGGCTCTCGGGATGTTCGTCCACGGACCAGCGACAGAAAGTCGAGGCTCCTTTTCAGCTTCTCCGTGATGAATCACGTCACAAAGAATATTCCTTTCTCTGGTTTCCACTTGGGCCCCCTCTCTCTCCTTTCTCTCCCTTCGTCCGCCTGTGAGTTCAACAGATGTTTCCACTCAGTGCTCTTAATGAAGAGAGCAAACCATCA